GGAAAGCTGCGACTCGTATTCGACGCCGCGGCCCGTTCGAAGGGAATGTGCTTGAACGACGTACTGCTGGATGGGCCAGATATGCTACGGTCGCTTAACGGTGTGTTATACCGTTTCCGCGAGAAGCCCGTAGCTATCACGGCAGACATACGAGAGATGTTCCTGCAGATTAAGATACGGGAAGAAGATAGAGCAGCACAACAGTTTCTGTGGCGAGGAGATGACAGGATTAACCCGCCGCAGAAATACGTAATGACCTCAATGATTTTCGGGGCGAGGAGCTCGCCGTTCATCGCACACAGCGTTCGCGACAGGAACGCGGCAGAGCACCGAGAGTCGCACCCGTCAGCGTACACCGCCATAACAAGGAACCACTACATGGACGACTGGGTCGATAGCTTTGACTCCGAAGAGGAAGCAGCCCGCGCCATACGAGAGGTAGTAGAGGTTCATGGCGGGATAGGACTCACGCTGGCGGGTTGGAATACAAACCGACCGAGCCTGCTAGAGAATGTGAGTGAGGACCAGCGAGCGAGGACGCCGAAGGAACTGAGATTGCCGCGATGGTATGGCACGAACGACAGCCAACGGTCGCAACTGCACGTATTCACGGACGCAAGCGAACAGGCATATGCCACAGCCGCGTATTGGAGGACGGAACGCGAGGATCGTAGCGTTAACGTCGTCCTGGTAGCAGCCAAAGCGAGGGTAGCGCCTATGAAAGCGCAGAGTATACCCCGGATGGAGCTTCAGGCGAGCCTGGTAGGACCCCGACTGGCCGCTGACGTACTGAAAGGACGTCGTCGCGCGGCCGAAGTCTTCCTATGGACGGTCTCGAAGAAGACGCTACATTGGACTAGGAACGACACCGCTCGATACAATCCACACGCGGCCCGCCGGATGGCAGAAAGCGCCGAACATACAGAACCAACACAGTGGCGCTGGGTACCGACCGCCCACGACGTAACTAACGACGCGACCCGCGCGAGATATACAATACGGACCGCCGCCGACAGATCCGTCGGGCCGGCGCTTGTGTACGCTCCAGAGAAAGAACGACCCAAGGAAAGCAAGCCCGTCCCTGCAGAGACAGTAGCCCGTGCCCGGGCGAAGGCAAAGCCCGTAATGGACAGAATGCGGTTCTCCTCATATGACCGAGTGAGGAGGACCCCGGCACAGGTGCTGCTGCTCGCAGAAGAATACAGGCGACGGGCATGGAAGCTGGGCCGGGAGCGCCCCGCTGAAGCGGGGAAATGGGTCAAGTGGCGTTGCGGTGAACGCGGACGGACGGACGAACGCGAGGGAATTTTTCGAAGGCCGACCCGAAGGCTGGTGGTCCTCCCTAGGGATAAGGGCTGCGAAGATCTGCGCCGGGGGAGGCTGTTGCGGACCACGAGTCGGCATCGAAAATATGTAAATAAATTTGTGTATAAATTTGTATTTTTCCAGTGTTTTGACTATTGTTTAGGTTAGACTATTGTTTGTACCATATACCCTTTGTAGCGGCATAGATACTGTGAATTCTATGTCCGCCCATTGTGTAAATTCTTCCGGCCCGTCGGTCACCGACATGTGCAGGAATTGTCGGGAGGGTGGGACGGCCGACGCGCACGGCTCGGCGGGGGTGGGGAAGGACGCGCTCGGGCGCCCGTAAAAGGCGGGTTGGTTCTCGATCGCGCTCTCTTACGCATACGCCACCGACGAAGAACCACCGCCGGCGCAACGACCAAGAAAACCCCACTCCGGCCGGCCGACCCATAGAATAAGAAACAAATTGAAATACAGTCCACATATTTTGAAAATCGAAGACCTTTTAATTGTGTACCCCACAATCTGACTGAAGTGAAAGAAGTCAAGGAAGTGATTGAAGTCAAAGAAATGATTGAAGTGATAGAAGTAATTGAAGTGAATAAAGTCAATGATGTCAAGGAATTGATTGAAGTCAATGAAGCGAATGATGTCAATGAAGTCTATGAATGAAGTGATTGAAGTTAAAGAAGTCAATGAAGTGATTAAAGTCAAGGAAGTGATTGAAGTCAAAGAAATGATTGAGGTCCATGAAGTGTATGAAGTGATTGATGTTAATGAAGTGAATGAAGACAACGAAAAGATTGAAGTCAATGAAGTGAATGAAGACAAGGAAGTGATAGAAGTAATTGAAGTGGAAGTAGTCAATGAAGTGATTGATGTTAATGAAGTGATTGAAGTCAATGAAGTGATTGAAGTCAATGAAGTGAATGAAGTCAATGCAGTGACTGAAGTCAATGAAGTGATTGAAGTCAATGAAGTGATTGAAATGATTGAAATGAATGAAATGAATGAAATGAATGATATGAATGATATGAATGAAATGAATGAAATGAATGAAATGAATGAAATGAATGAAATGAATGAAATGAATGAAATGAATGAAATGAATGAAATGAATGAAATGAATGAAATGAATGAAATGAATGAAATGAATGAAATGAATGAAATGAATGAAATGAATGAAATGAATGAAATGAATGAAATGAATGAAATGAATGAAATGAATGAAATGAATGAAATGAATGAAATGAATGAAATGAATGAAATGAATGAAATGAATGAAATGAATGAAATGAATGAAATGAATGAAATGAATGAAATGAATGAAATGAATGAAATGAATGAAATGAATGAAATTAATGAAACTAATGAAATTAATGAAATGAGTGAAATAAGTGAAATGAATGAAATTAATTGAAGTGATTGAAGTCAATGAAGTGAATGATGTCAATGAACTGATTGAATTCAATGAAGTCAATGAAGTGAATGATGTCAATGAACTGATTGAATTCAATGAAGTCAATGAAGTGAATGATGTCAATGAAGTGATTGAAGTCAATGAAATGATTGAAGTGATAGAAGTAATTGAAGTGGAAGTAATCAATGAAGTGAATGATGTTAATGAAGTGATTGAAGTCAATGAAGTGAATGAAGACAATGAAGTGATTGAAGTCAATGAAGTGAATGAAGTCAATGAAGTCAATGAAGTGATTGAAGTCAATGAAGTGATTGAAGTCAATGAAGTGAATGAAGTCAATGAAGTGATTGAAGTCAATGAAGTGAATGAAGTCAATGAAGTGATTGAAGTCAATGAAGTGATTGAAGTCAACGAATAGATTGAAGTCAATGATGTCAAAGAACTGATTGAAGTCAATGAAGTGAATGAAGTGAATGATGTCAAAGAACTGATTGAAGTCAATGAAGTGAATGAAGAGATTGATGTTAATGAAGTGATTGAAGTCAATGAAGTGAATGATGTCAATGAAGTCTATGAATGAAGTGATTGAAGTTGAAGTCAAAGAAGTGATTGAAGTCAAGGAAGTGATTGAAGTCAATGAAGTGAATGAAGTTAATGAAGTGATTGAAGTCAATGAAGTGAATGAAGACAATGAAGTGATTGATGTCAATGAAGTGAATAATGTCAATGAAGTGATTGAAGTCAATGAAGTGATTGAAGTAAATGAAGTGATTGAAGTCAATGAAGTGAATGATGTCAATGAAGTGATTGATGTTAATGAAGTGATTGAAGTCCATGAAGTGAATGATGTCAATAAAGTGATTGAAGTCAATGAAGAGATTGAAGTCAATGAAGTGAATGATGTCAATGAAGTGATTGATGTTAATGAAGTGATTGAAGTCAAGGAAGAGATTGAAGTCAATGAAGTGAATGATGTCAAAGAACTGTTTGAAGTCAATGAAGTGAATGAAGTCAATGAAGTGATTGAAGTCAATGAAGTGATTGAAGTCAATTAAGTGAATGATGTCAAAGATCTGACTGAAGTGAAAGAAGTCAATGAAGTGATTGTTGTCAATGAAGTGAATGAAGTCAATGAAGTGAATGAAGTCAATGAAGTGATTGAAGTCAATGAAGTGATTGAAGTCAATGAAGTGAATGATGTCAAAGATCTGACTGAAGTGAAAGAAGTCAACGAAGTTATTGATGTCAATGAAGTCAATGAAGTGATTGAATTCAATAAAGCGAGTGAATTGAAAATGTCAATGAAGAGATTGAAGTCAATGAAGTGACTGAAGTCAATGAAATGATTGAAGTGATAGAAGTAATTGAAGTGAAAGTAATCAATGAAGTGAATGAAGTCAATGAAGTGAATGAAGTCAAGAAATTGATTGAAGTCAATGAAGCGAATGATGTCAATGAAGTCTATGAATGAAGTGATTGAAGTTAAAGAAGTCAATGAAGTGATTAAAGTCAAGGAAGTGATTGAAGTCAAAGAAATGATTGAGGTCAATGAAGTGTATGAAGTGATTGATGTTAATGAAGTGATTGAAGTCAATGAAGTGATTGAAGTCAATGAAGTGATTGAAGTCAATGAAGTGAATGAAGTCAATGAAGTGAATGAAGTCAATGAAGTGAATGAAGTCAATGAAGTGAATGAAGTCAATGAAGTGAATGAAGTCAAGGAATTGATTGAAGTCAATGAAGCGAATGATGTCAATGAAGTCTATGAATGAAGTGATTGAAGTCAATGAAGTGATTGAAGTGGTGGAGGAGATTGCAGTGATAGAAGTGATTGAAGTGAAAATAATCAATGAAGTCAAGAAAGTGAATGAAATGAATGAAATGAATGAAATGAACGAAATGAACGAAATGAATGAAATGAATGAAAAGAATGAAGTGTATGTGTGTGAAAGTGAATGAAACGAATTATTCTACCGCTTATTTGGAATGCAGATTCATCACAAGAATAATAAGCAAGAAACTTGTGTTGCTCTTTTAAATAAATATTGATTTACTTATATTTAATTAACAACAAGGATTACAATCAACATAGAAACCGCTACGCACTTAATCTCTATTCAATCGGACAACATTGTGGAATGAGCAGTAGATTAAAAAAAAAATGTTAACCATTCAAAAGTGCTTCAATGTAAGTTTATTTAAATAAACGATTTTCTATTCTATTCTATTTCTAAGTCATTCTAAATTATATTAATGAACATAATGGTGTCACCTTGACGGGCTTGTCAGTTCTGTGCGACTGTCTGTGTTGCGACAGCAGGTACGCCGCGTGGAACCGCGCGCCGCAAGACTCGCAAACGAATGGCTTCTCGCCGCGGTGACGCCGCTCGTGGTTCTGGATTAGAACATGAAATGAAAAAAATTGCTTAAATGTGATTTATAAACTTTCGTGTTTAATATACATTATTTATATTTGTTTGGGAAACTACTTTGCTACCAAAATGTTAGGGAATTTACTATGTATATATATAGGGAAAAATAGGTGGAAGCGTCAGTCGTACCTGTATGGTTCTGCGGATTTCTTGGGCTTCAGGGTCTCGAAGATATTTTCGATAGCTTTCCAGTTTCACAGTAGGTTTAACACAGTTCTAATTTATTTTAATTCACAACACAATGCGCGCGCGTCATGGCCGCCGTACAGTCAGTTCTGTACTAGGTAAGGGAGGGGAAGGAAAGACGCGGGAACACAAACTAACGGACTCTAATATAATAATCCGTGCTTACAGGGTAGATTTTGAACAATATTATTAACCGGGTCTTAACACGAACAAATTTTATGGCAAATAAAGGTATTTACCTCTCTCGACGTCTCGCCTAGGTAGCACTAGCCGTGGTCACGAGCTGACTGGAGTAACAGCGATGTCAATGCAGATAGGTGACAGCAGTTTTTTCATCTACCGTCACTAGATTGTTCAACGAAAGTTCGCGGCACACAGCACTCACGGTATCCGAACACTTATTGACTATTGATGCTACTGAACTTTGCTTGATATTTTTTTATGACTGGATTCCACGCAGATGATAATTTTAAGCCATCCTCTCTGTTGAAATTGGGATGTTTTTTAATTTCAATCGCCTCCCGGACCATTCGTGGGTAATAGTGGCGATCAGTAGAGAGGACCTGAGGCGCTTGTAGCGCGAGAAAGGTAAATATCTTTATTTGCCATAAAATTTGTTCGTGTTAAGACCCGGTTAATAATATAAACAATGCTTAAATGTGGTTTTAGAGTCAAATAAAATCAGAAATCATTTAATTATGCAGGATTTTTTAGCCGCTTATGAACATCAAGTTTTTTGTATTAATATTTTTTCTCTACACGTCCACGTTTTATACCAACAGACACGACACCGTCCTCGGTGGTAAAGACGACGACCTTAACCACACGATACGCGCGCGCCCGGTCGTCTCTCCGATCCACCCCCCGTCCAATTCAATCGGGGATCGAAATTACGACGGCCTGAGCCGATGCTCGGATCCCTAGCGGTGCCCTCAGACTAAAGTCGTATCCGTCAGGCGGGAGTTGGCCTTCAGCCGCTCCATAAGTCCTTCCTTTGGTTTGGAGTGCCATCTGCACTCGCCCCCTATCGTCCAGTGTAAAGGCCAGCTGCGGACAGTATTAGAGTAGTCCGAAAAAAAGTCAAATCTACCATCGTTTCGAAGTGATTTCGAGCTATAGTCAGTTTTATAATCCCGAATACAAATTTGACATTACCGATGTTGCCAAGTTTATGTATTTTTTTAATAGGATTCTGGCACTATCGGAAATTAATATTAATTACCCATTAGAGTAGTCCGAAAAAAAAAGTTAAATCATGTAGAACTGGCAAGAAACTCAACTGAATTTCTTTTTTTTTTAAAGCCAATTTATTTTCATTGTATTTTTATATAGGTGTCTATGTCTAACATTACGCCGACTCCAAATAAATGGGATAAGGAAGCAGCAGATGATGATGATGATGATGTCTATGTCTAACATTAAATGAAAATCCCGTGCATAAACAACTATTGCCTACATAATAAATGCCTAAATAATTATTCATATAGAACAGTTTTAATCTAATATATAAACTACAACTGATATTATGTAATATAAAAAGTTTGACGTTCATAAGCGGCTAAAATGTCCTACATGAATAAATTACTCTAGATTTGATTTGATCTGGTTTGATTACAGATACACTCACCCGCATGGACATGACGCCCGCGCTCTGGAACTCACAGTAGGAGCACTTGAACTTCTCGTAGCCATGCTTTGCTCGTAGATGTTCATTTAGACGAAACTTATTCCCAAATCTCTTGCCACAGTGCTGATAAAGAATATTTCTATCTATACATATAAATAAAATTGGAGTGTCTGTTTGTAATATTGAAATAACAGTTTTTTACTACATGCATATGAATATAAATACGGTACATACACCAAAAAAATTTACAATTTTCGTCCGTCTGTCTGTCGGTCTGTTTGTTCCGGTTAATCTCTGAAATGGCTGGACCGATTTTGATGGGACTTTTTTTGGCAGGTACCTGATGTAATAAGGAGTAACTTAGGCTACTTTTATTTAAGAAAAATAAAGTTAAAATCCACGCGGACGCAGTCGCTGGAACGGCTAGTAATTAATAAAATTGGTTATTCCTTACAACCCTTTTTTCGAAGGGGATTATTAGTAATGTGGAGTAATAACTCCATTGCTCGTATTCTTTTCAAATCTAACTATATATAACTCAAAGGTGACTGACATAGTGATCTATCAACATACGGCCCAAACCACTGGACGGATCGGGCTGAAATTTGGCATGCAGGTAGATGTTATGACGTAGGCATCCGCTAAGAAAGGATTTTGATTAATTCTAGTAATGTGGATTTATAACCCCCATTGCAATGTACCGTGTTAGGTTGACCTCTACGCGGTTTCCCCTGGAAACTACCGTGTTAAATTCCTGGTGAATTTGTCACGATGTGCTAACTGACCTGACCTTATGCTCATCTTATCATCCTCCACTGGTGCCTCGCCAGCGTAAACCGTTAGCGCGGGTGCACTGTTCCATTATCATCCCTTAAAAAGAACCCTTTATTCGCAATAAAAGAAGCCCTTCTTATGTCCTTTCTCAGGATGTAGACTATTTATGTACCAAATTTCATTTAAATCGGTTCTGCAGTTTTGGAGTGAAAGTGCGACAGGCAAACAGACATACTTTGGTATATCTGATCTTAATCATTACATAGTATAAAACAAAGTCGCTGTCGCTGTCTGTCCCTATGTATGCTTAAATCTTTATAACTACGCAACGGATTTTGAAGCGGTTTTTTTTAATGGATATAGTGATTCAAGAGAGTTTTATATGTATAATACATGTACACCCGGGCGAAGCCGAGGCAAGTAGCTAGTAATATTATAAACGCGAAACTTTGCGAGTATGGATGGATGTTTGTTACTCTTTCACGCAAAAACTACTGAACGGATTTTTATGAAACTTTACAGTGATATAGCTTATATTAGAGAAACAAGATATGCATAAAATTGTATTCTATTCAAACAACCGTTACTAAGTAACTGACATTTATTTCTTTTTCGGTATATTAGATTATAAACCTCAATAGCTTATACATCAGAATAACACATAGACCATTTATATTGAAAAGTAACGCGAGTAAAACCGCGGGCACAGCTAGTAATAAGTAAAATAAATATTCTTATGAATTGTTACCTCGCAGACGGGTCCTAGACCCGCGTGTTTGATTGCTTTGTGCATCCGCAGGCTGGCCTTCTGCATTATCTTGTGGCAAACGTCACATTCCGTCAACTCTCTACCCTGTGTATATAAAAATAGAGGCTATAATTGTACTCACTAAATTCAAATAAATAATAATAATCTCAGGACAATTCACACAGCGCCATCTAGTCCCAAGTTCAGGACAATTAACACAGCGGTATCTAGTCCCAAGTTCAGGACAATTAACACAGCGGTATCTAGTCCCAAGTTCAGGACAATTAACACAGCGGTATCTAGTCCCAAGTTCAGGACAATTAACACAGCGGTATCTAGTCCCAAGTTCAGGACAATTAACACAGCGGTATCTAGTCCCAAGTTCAGGACAATTAACACAGCGGTATCTAGTCCCAAGTTCAGGACAATTAACACAGCGGTATCTAGTCCCAAGTTCAGGACAATTAACACAGCGGTATCTAGTCCCAAGTTCAGGACAATTAACACAGCGGTATCTAGTCCCAAGTTCAGGACAATTAACACAGCGGTATCTAGTCCCAAGTTCAGGACAATTAACACAGCGGTATCTAGTCCCAAGTTCAGGACAATTAACACAGCGGTATCTAGTCCCAAGTTCAGGACAATTAACACAGCGGTATCTAGTCCCAAGTTCAGGACAATTAACGCAGCGGTATCTAGTCCCAAGTTCAGGACAATTAACACAGCGGTATCTAGTCCCAAGTTCAGGACAATTAACACAGCGGTATCTAGTCCCAAGTTCAGGACAATTCACGCAGCGCCATCTAGACCCAAGTTAAGCTAGCTAAAGCTTGTATTACGGGTACTAGGTAACTGATAGAAATACATAGATATTTTTTTCGTAAATACATATTATACATAGAAAACAGCCAGACCGATACAAACAATCATACTCATGAATACAAATGTTTGTTCCGTGCGAGGAATCGAACCCGCGACCATCGGTCGTAAAGCGGTGTGCTAGACCGCTAGACCACCGAAGTCGTCATAATAAATAAATAACACTAGACAATTAACACTTGCAATCTAGATATATAGAATTCTCGTGTCACAATGTTAGTTACCATACTCCTCTGAAACGGCCTGGCCGATTTTTATGAAGTTTTATATCCATATTCAGTAGGTCTGAGAATCGGCTACTATCTATTTTTCATACTCCTAACTGATGAGGGTTGTCCAACCCTAACATTATTTTTTTATTTTTTGGGCAATTTTTTTTTTATAATGCGTCATTAAAAATACATACAACCCTAAATTCACCCTTCTATCACCAACCCTTATTTTTTTTTATGCGTTATTAATTTATATGGCAAAACAACGTTTGCCGGGACACCTAGTCTATATATATATAAAAATGAATTGCTGTTAACTGTTGTTAAATTGTAGATTAACGAGTCTCGCTAAAACTCGAGAACGGCTGAACCGATTCGGCTAATTTTAGTCTTGAAATATTCGTGGAAGTCAAGGGTAGGTTTAAACGGTGATAACATACGAAGAAATTCTATATAAAATAGTAAAAACAACAATTATATTTTCCCATACAAACTGCTGATACCTGTCAAACAGGGTGCGTTCAGAAATTTGAAACACGAATAAAGATGTTATGATTGGACATGTTTACGAACCGATTCATTGGCTTTCCGTTTCCTCTTCTTCGCCGGACATGTCGTGACATGGTCTATGAGGTGTTCCTGGCTGTCGTATTCAGACTTACAGTACTGTAACAACATGCATATGTTATTTTCTTTTAACTGTAAAAAAAAACTGGAAATTTATATCCAGGAAAAACAGGAAAAAAACAATTTTTTTTTTCATTAAATATTGTGAAAATGCCTGGAAATTCATATCGGGGAAAAAAAAGGATAAATAAAAAAACAGTAAAAAAACTGGAAATCAAGGAAAAACAGGAAAAAATAATAAAAAAAACATATTATTCAAATTCCAAACATTTATTTACAATCCTTAGTAATATTATAAACGCGAAAGTAACTCTGTCTGTCGGTCTATCTCGCTTTCCGCCCAAAACTACTGAACCGATTAAAATGACATTTGGTACACAGATAGTCTGGACTCTGAGAAAGGGCATAGGCTACTTTTTAATGCGAAAAAAGGGTTGTAAGGGGTTGAAAAGGGAGATAAAAGTTTGTATGGCTGTATCGTCATTTTTAAAGCTCGGAGCTTGAAGCTTAATTTTAACCCATCCCTCATCCCAACGAGCCCATAACAGCAGTAAACCTCCCCACGAGCCCACCCGTTCCGGCCCGACCACACTTTTACACACAATCACGACACCGTCCTCGCCGGCGAAGTCGACGACCTCATATCGCGCCTGCGCGCGCCCGGGACCTCCACACCAGCGCCCCCAGTCGCCACTCCGATCGATTCCCCGTCCAATTCAAACGAGGACCGATGTTACGACAGCCTGAGCCGAGGTTCGAATCCCTAGCGGTGCTCTCAGACTAGTCGTATCCGTCAGGCGTCGTAACTTCCTTCCTTTGGTTTGGAGTGCCATCTGCACTAGCCCTCAATTGTCCGGTGAAGCTATAAAGGCCAGTTGCGGCAGCAGCTGGCTGCGGCCAACAGCATTAGAGTAATCCCACACAAAAATATAATAAAAACACTTCTATTAGAATAGAATAGAATAGAAAATCATTTATTCAAATAAACTAAATTTAAGCACTTTTGAATAGTCATACTCGTTCGGAAAGCTGTCTCATCACAAGAAGAACGAGCAAGAAACTTGTGTGTTGTTCTTTTAAATAATCCTTGTAAGTTTACATTTACAAGTCGAAACATGTGAATACAAAAGCACTAATTTTTTGGGTCAAATATAAATATGCAATAAGATTAAATCAGTCGTAGTGATAAAAGCAGACCAGTCCCTACAAGCAGCACTCGTTCACGAGTATGACGGATGAGCCAGCCATCACTGCGCTCGACCATATTTTAGGGAGCCCAAAGACCCGATAAATATTCTGTCTCTCTGCTGCGTAATGACACATTACAAGCTGCCAGGTTCTCGACGAAGTAGGTCCTAGACCTAACCCCGAAAGGCACGGGGGAAGGTGTTGTTAATAATGTAGACTGTTGATCCCATTGCTAGCAAATGTACCATGTCAGGTTGACCTCCATCCAGTTCTCCCTGGAAACCATCATGATAAATTCTTGGTGAATATATCACGATGGGCTAACTGACCTGACCTCATGTTCATCTTATCATCTTCCACTGATACCTCGCCAGCGTAAACCGTTAGCGCAGGTGCACCATTTCATTATCATCCATAAAAAAACCCCTAAAGGGATGTGTACTCACACCCATTTAAAGTCCCATACGACTAAATTAATTCACTACCATTGGTAGTGAAGCAATATGCTTTATAAACCTCTTATCTAAAACATACTTACTCTACAACATAAAGCACCAGAGCTATGCATCAATACTCTGTGCCTGTTCATCTTCTCCTTCAGCACATAGTTGTCGCACAAATCACACTTCACCTTCCTCTTGTCAGCCCCCGGGTGTCTCCGCGCCAAGTGGCTGTCAATACTCCTTACAGACAAATTCTTCTGACACAATTTACACATCACCCTTCTCTTTTTATCTGTACCAAACAATATATCATAGGGTTGGTCCAATATTTCGATTTGTTTCTTCTCATTTAGTTCTATTTCCGTTGTTTCATTAAGTTCGTTTTCTGTTTCCGTTACTTCTATTTCTTTATTGTTTATATCATCTAAACTGTCTGTAGAGTCGGGTATGTCTTTTATTAAATATTTTAATGGTTTATCATCTTCATCAACAACCATTCCTATTTCATAATTACTACATTCATCTTTCATTTCATCATTGTCTTTAGGTTCTGTTTCCGTTATTTCTATTTCTCTATCTACATGTGAAGTAACGATGTGGGAATGTGCATTGTTTGTTTGTTCTCTAAACTTTAATAGTATTCTTTCAACATCTTTACATTTCTTTCTGAATTTTATATATTTATTTACCAACTTTATACACTGTGAACATATTGTCTGTGGTAGACCATCATTATATTCAACCTGGAATAATATATTAGATCATTTACCCTCAAAATTTATTACTATTCATAAAAGTAGTGGACCAGTATGGATTTCCTTAGGTGCATATGTCATAGCTGTGCCCGCAATTTCACTGTAAAGTTTCATCAAAATCCATTCAGTAGTTTTTGTGTGAAAGAGTAACAAACAACCATACTTACAAACTTTTACATTTATAATATTAATAATATAACGACTATATTTATACAAAATTTTAATCACCCTAGCTTCGCTCAAGTGCTCACAACTTTGTGGAAGTTACAAGAAGAAGGAGGACTCGAACTCCTGACCGTCACATGTAAAGCAGTGCTAAACTGCTAGACCACAGAGGCAGTCAATATATTAAATAAATAATTTATTCTATTCATATTTTTAATGCGAGAAGTGTGTATGTATGGATTTCTCTTTCTAACAAAAACTACAAGACTGCTTTGAATTCAATTTAGGACACAGATATATCATATCCTATATCACAATACTATGCTTTTAAGATGAATATATATATATATATACTTTTTTAGTAATAAGTATAGTATTATAAGTACAGGAGCCAACAGAATATCAGCGCTGCAGTTTTATCTGTAGCATTATGCTGAGTTGGCTGCCTTTTCACTTTTGCGGCACATAAAATCACATACATTTCTTTTATTAATTCAAATTTTTTCTGTATCTCATATATGTTATGTGTATGTAATTGTTGAATAAAGAATTTATCTATCTATCTAATAGTTGAAATAAATATTATGAAATGTATACCTTAACACCGGTAGAAAGGAAAATAGATACAGAGGACCGCCTGTGTTCACCATTGTCCGTAAATATTGGATTTAATGATGATTTACTCATACAAGTTCTGCATACTGACGAGAAATCCATTTCTCGTATTTCAGTTATTATATTAACAGTTTGCACTATTCCATTTCCCGTAGTTAGTAATTCAATTGAATAACAATAAGTTGGAGTATTTTAATCATAGGTTTCTGTTAAATTTCTTAGTTTTTCTCATTCAACAAAATATGTTTTTTTATGACAATGTACTCAATTTTAAAATATGAACATTTGTTTTTGTGATTTTTTGTCATTTCCTTATAGGAAAGGCAGAGGTGTCTAAGCCCATACAGCCGATTGCGATTTGACGTTTGTTTATGACATTCCAGAATAGTGACAAGTCACTTCTCTTCATTTCTTAAATGACATTTTTTTTTATGTATATATTTTACGGCTCTGGATACAAATCCTTTTTAGCCCAACTTAAGTTTAACAATATAAATAAAAATATGTTGTGGCCACAACGCCACTTCGCACAAAACTTTAAAATTAATAATCTAAAATATATTTATACTTTATTTTATTATAGGCCTTTACATTTTTAATTTCTTTACGCTTACTACCAGGGGCGCAACTACGGGCTTTATGGGCTGTAGACTAAGGCCCCGTGGATACAAAGCCCCCAGCCCACATTGAAAACAATAGGCAATATTTACATTAAAAATCTATAATATTAAAAAACTTATCATAAGGTTGACAACCCTGAGGTTAATCAACCCATGGATGTGCGCGTCTATCGAACGGAATCAGGAATTCCCTGTCGTTTTTGGTCGATGTATTTTTTTAGTTGAGTAATATAATTAGGTAGGCCCCTAAGTTTTAGCAGAGGGCCTTACAAATTTACGAGCTGCCCCTGCTTACTACGAGCTCATTTAAGCCTGGTCAATTAACACAGCGCCATCTAGTCCCACGGTAAGCAGAGGTTGTGTTGTTTGTATTATGCTATGCCATAGACTATAAATGCTTATTTATTTAAAAAAAAACAATGATGTTAGTTGATCAAGGAAGATATTCAATATATTGAAATTAATGAGTTAGTTGATCAAGCAAAAGATATTGAATATATTGAAATTAATGCAATTATAGGAAAACAAAATAATCATCAACAATCTTTCTCTGCACCACTCATGGTTGCCTGGTAGATAACGCCGCAAGGTATTAAGTCCGCCATATGTACATATTGTTTTTGTGCATTAACGTTAAATAAATAAACAACCAATATATTTTTATTATTTATTTTAATAAATTTCACTATTAAATTTATAATACAAATATTTGACTACATTTTCTGTTATTACGTATATATATATATACCTTTATAAATATAAACTTTGAAGTCAAATTTATATATTCCGTCATACTCGTGAACTCACGTGACCTTTTTTCCGGACTACTCTAATGCTGTTGGCCGCTGGCCTTTACAGCTTCACCGGACGATAGGGGGCGAGTGCAGATGCATATACATCTATAATAATAATGAAAATTGTAATCACTAAACATACAATATCTTTATTTTGTAGCTTTCAATATACATATATTTCTAACCATCACTTCAAAACTGTTATAATATAATTAAACAATAATTTTTTATAATATTTCTATAATATTATTACTTTTTTATTTTAAGTCAGTATTTTGGCGCAAAAGTTATTTCACTTTTTTAAAACGGACTACAGGCAACGGAACAAAATCAAACAGCTATAATATTGAGACAATATTCAAAGTGGGACATTAAACATAAACAACCAATACATTTTTATTATTTATTTTAATAAATTTCACTATTAAATTTATAATACAAAATTACAAATATTTGACTACATTTTCTGTTATTACGTATATACCTTTATAAATATAAACTTTGAAGTCAAATTTATATATTCCGTCATACTCGTGAACTCACGTGACCTTTTTTTCGGACTACTCTAATGCTGTTGGCCGCTGGCCTTTACAGCTTCACCGGATGATAGGGGGCGAGTGCAGATGCATATATATCTATAATAATAATGAAAATTGTAATCACTAATCATACAATATCTTTATTTTGTAGCTTTCAATATACATATATTTCTAACCATCACTTCAAAACTGTTATAATATAATTAAACAATATTTTTTCATAATATTATTACTTTTTTATTTTAAGTCAGTATTTTGGCGCCAAAGTTATTTCACTTTTTTAAAACGGACTACAGGCAACGGAACAAAACCAAACAGCTATAATATTAAGACAATATTCAAAGTGGGACATTAAACATAAACAACCAATATATTTTTATTATTTATTTTAATAAATTTCACTATTAAATTTATAATACAAAATTACAAATATTTGACTACATTTTCTGTTATTACGTATATACCTTTATAAATATAAACTTTGAAGTTCAATTTATATATTCCGTCATACTCGTGAGCTCACGTGACCTTTTTTCTGGACTACTCTAATGCTGTTGGCCGCTGGCCTTTATGCCCAATTTACACTCAGCCCGAGTGAGCAGCGCGAGAGTGTAAACACGAGTGGAAACACTTCCCATGCCATTGACGCTGCCACTCGCGCTGCCGGCGCTCCCTCGATTGTCGGTTTTTCGTGCGCGAGTCAAAGGACTGGCAGCGCGAGTGGCAGCGTGTTTTTACATGCAGCCCTCTCGCTCAGTTGTCGCCCGGCAATATTTCCGGCAGCGCGAGTGGCAGGGGAAGCGGCTGAATGTAAACGTAGCATTACAGCTTCACCGTACCGGTGGCGAGTGTAAATGGCACTCCAAACCAAAGGAAGGACTTATGGAGCGGCTGAAGGCCAACTCCCGTCTGACGGATACAACGTTCGTCTGAGGGCACCGCTAGGGTTTTCAACCTCGGCTCAGGCCGTCGTAATATCGATCCCCGTTTAAATTGGACGGGGAATCGATCCCGTGAGCTCACTAGTAAGACGCCCCTTGTTGGGTCTGAATTATACAACACAATATTATTATAACTACATTGTTCTTATCTCATAATCTATACATAATAAATAAAATTGGAGTGTCTGTTTGTAATACTGAAATAACCGTTTTTTACTACATGCATATGGATATGGATACGGTACATACACCAAAATAACATTTTTTTACAATTTCTGTCTGTCTGTTTGTTCCGGCTAATCTCTGAAATGGCTGGACCTATTTTGACGGGACTTTTTTTGGGTGGTAACTAAGTAATAAGGAGTAACTTAGGCTACTTTTATTTTATAAAAATAAAGTTAAATACCACGCGGACGAAGTCGCGGGAACAGCTAGTGTATATTTAAATTTTAAATACCTACATTGTGACGATACTGATGAGTCATTTATAACTGACCCCGCTTAGTAAAAAAAAGTTACTCCTTATAACATCAGTTACCTGCCAATAAAAGTCCCGTTAAAATCGGTCGAGCCATTTCAGATTAGCCGGAACAAACAGACAGACGGACAAAAATTATAAAAAATGTTATTTTGGTGTATGTACCGTATTTATATTCATATGCATGTAGTAAAAAACGGTTATTTCAGTATTACAAACAGACACTCCAATTTTATTTATTATGTATAGATTAACATTGTTCTTACATCTCATAGCCTGTAATGCATATTTAAATTATAAATACCTACGTTGTGACGATATACTCCGTCATACTCGTGAACGGTCGTTCACTAGTATGACGCTTATTGGCAGTGTTAACTGTTTTATATTAGGATTACCCTGTTGTAATTCTCAAGTTTCTTACGTATGAAATTTTAAATATATTTGTGACTAGGTATACTGAAGGGTCAATTATATTAATTTACTTAGATGTGCACGCGGATTTACTCGCGTGAATTTTATAGCCTACATGTTATTCGGATAAACTATATTATTGTAAAGTTTCATCGAAATCCGTTCAGTAGTTTTTGTATGGAAGAGTTACATACATGCATCCATACTCACAAACTTTCGCTTTTATAAAATTAGTCAAATATTCCGTCATGATCGTGAACAGCCGTTCCCTAGTATGACGCTTTTAAAACTCTACTGTTGTACAGTACATGTTTACAGTAAGATATTCCGTCACAGTCGTGAATACCCGTTCCCTAATATGACTCTTCTTAAAACTCGACTTTTGTACAATACAGGTTTACAGTAAGATATTGTGTCATACTCGTGAACACCCATTCCCTAGTATGACGCTTTTAAAACTCGAATGTTGTACAATACTTGTTTATAGTAAGAAGCTTTATATATTATAGATATTATGTCATACTCGTGAACACCCGTTCCCTAGTATGACGCTTTTAAAACTCTACTGTTGTACAATACTTGTTTATAGTAAGAAGTTTTATATATTATAGATATTATGTCATACTCGTGAACACCCGTTCCCTAGTATGACGCTTTTTGGAAATCGACCGTTGTAAATACAGTATAAACTAACATTTCTAGTTCAATTGACGTATGTATAACATTTTTTAGACATTAACAAGTTAAGATATTTATAATTTTGTACTTAAGTTATTTTCACTAATTGATATGAGTGCATTATTGCTTAATTTGTGTAAACATGCTTACAGCCTGCCTGATGGTAAATGGTAACCGTTGTTTATATACATGATTTAATTTGCGTATCGGTAATAGCAACGAAGCTTGCGGCCCGCCTGATGGTAAGTGGTAACTGTCGCCTACATGGACAGCACTATGGATATTATGTGACACCCGTGATACCACTCTGTAAATACCTTCTGTGCAATATGTTCTCCTGGTAGTATATTAATCCTTCAACGAGAATGGTAATAAAGCTTACGTCCCACCTGATGGTAAGTGGTAACCGTCGTATATATACATGAACAGTACTACAGAGATCAGGATATCATGAGACCCTAGATATCACACCTAAAGAGTGGTCATTCGTGACGACTAAGATCTCATCCGTACTATGTAAATATACTACTATTAATTCACGCTCCGAACCTTCTATGAATTCATGTTGTCCTGGTACTTTCTCTGTACGATATGATACTGGTAATAAAGATTATGTCCCACCTGATGGTAAGTGGTAATTATAACCTATATAGGCACATGGACAACACCACAGACATCACGTTATCACGTGACGTCTATATCACACCTAAAGAGTGGTCATTCGTGACGACTAAGATCTCATCCGTACTATGTAAATATACTACTATTAATTCACGCTCCGAACCTTCTATGATTTCATGTTGTCCTGGTACTCTACCTATATATGACACTTTCAATGAGAATGTTAAAAATATATGTCCAACTGATGGTAAGTGGTAACTGTCGCCTATATACATGTACAGTACTATGGACATCACGTTATCACGTGACGCCTATATCACACTTAGAGTTGTCATTCCTGACGACTAAGATTTCATCCGTACTGTGTAGATCGCTCCGAACCTTCTATGAATTCATGTTGTCCTGGTACTTTGTCACACGTTAACAGAGAATGATAATAAAGCTTACGTCCCACCTGATGGTAAGTGGTAACCGTCGCCTATATACATGAACAACAGACATCACGTTATCATAACACCCGTGATATCACGCATGCGTTGATATTCCAGAGTACATCTTATGTCACACCTCTTATTTCATTTGGATTGAACAAATCCTGGACCTTAGGTAATACAAACAAAAAATGGATAACAGGTCAGACAATACTATTTTATATATACATACTTGCTTTGAACAGTCAATAGTACCTTTTAATAGTAATAATAACTCTGGACAATTCACACAGCGCCATCTAGTCCCAAGCTAAGTAGAACTTAGTACTAGACAACTGATATAAATACAATAATTAATTTGAAAAGAATACGAGCTGAGTTTCTTGTCAGTTCTCATCTCGAAATCATTCCGAACTGACGGTAGATTTGACATATCATAAGAGTCTGTAATAGACCTACATGAATAAAGATATTATGTAGATATACATATAGATTTTCTTTCAGCGATCAGTATGTCTATAATCGGATTGGTTGGCAAATGGCAATGAGTCTGCAGACCATTGAGTGCAAGACTTCTAAGTAAGAACTAGAGATTTGCTTGTCTAAATCCAGTCGATATGTTCTTTTCTATAGAAAAACTTAAAATCCATAGCACTGACAATATTATCTGATTACACTAATAATGAGTGCGTAGCGATTTCTATGTTGATTATCGCATGCCTCTTACTTGTTACACTGTAATTATTTATATACAAAAACATCTATTAAAAAGAGCAACACACAAGTTTCTTGCTCATTCTTCTTGTGATGAGTCTGCGTTCCGAATGAGCGGTAGAATCAAAATATGACTATTCAAAAGTGCTTGTAATGAGTTTATTTGAATAAAGATTATTTCTATTTTCCAAAAAAACAGCAATATTCATAATATTAATACAAGATTTAAAGACAAACTTGCTGTCCCCAAGTATCGTTTAGAAAAAGTTAATAGGTCTTTTATGGGAATAGGTATAAAAATTTACAATAAGATACAAAAGGATATGTTGGAATTACCCGTAAATAAATTCAAAACATCTGTTAAATCATATTTACTGAACAAAGCCTATTACTCACTAAACGATTACTTGAATGACGAGTGTGCATGGCAATAGTTGTTCATGCACTGAATTTTCATTTAATGTTAGACATAGACACCTATATAAATATACATTGTAAATAAACTGGCTTTAAAAAAAAAGTAATTCAATTGAGTTTCTTGCCAGTTCTTCTCAATTGGATCTATATACCGAACTGGACGGTAGGGAAAAAAATAAAATTATAATGTAAAAATTTGACGTTCATAAGCGGCTAAAATGCCCTACATGAATAAATGATTTTTGAATTTGAATTTGAATTTCTATTTCAGACATTTTGGGAGGTTGTCAGTTAGTAACCTCTGAGCTAGTTCATTGGGGTGGACACTCAGCCGAGCCTTGTAATTTGAGCATGTGCAAGCAAGCTCCTCTAGTACTGTGGGTAAATGCGATGAGATGTATTTCCGAGTTGGTTATAAACCATGGTGCCCTAAGAATGGTCTTCAAGATAGCGTTCTGAGACCGTTGGAAAATGTATAGAAAAATTATTTCCTTCAACATTTACATATAGAAAACACCCAGACCGATACATACAATAAAACTTATGAATACAAAAGAAATTGTAATAAATAATAATAATAATGAGTTATACCAAAAAGTCTGAACAAACACCTAGTCACGTTGCATATCCCCTCCTCTACATTAGACCTATTACAAAAAGCCGTCATACTAAACACATGCCGAATAGTCAGAAAATTTCTATCTTCATCACATAACTCATCCATGCTTGGCTAAGGCCCGCGTGTTTGAATATATTACCCCCATAAAAAGGGAGATATAATAAATATATATATATATATACATATATGTAATAACAATAATAATAATAATCTCAGGACAATTCACACAGCGCCATCTCGAACCGAGTTAAGCTAGCTAAAGCTTGTGTTACGGGTACTAGATAACTGATACAAGTACATAGATAATTTTTTTTTTCGTTAATACATACATATTATTCATAGAAAACACCCAGACCGATACAAACAATCATACTCATGAATACAAATGTTTGTGCCGTGCGAGGAATCGAACCCGCGACCATCGGACGTAAAGCGGTATGCTAGACCGCTAGACCACTGAGGTCGTCGAATAAATACGAATAAAAAAAATAAATACATCCCACGACCATGGAAAGTAAAGTGGTGAGTTAAATCGCTGGACCACCGGCCGATAGTTCTATATGCATACTGACTGTTAGTTTTGTCTACTTATACTACTAAACCGTGCTAGAACCAATGGCTAACCGATCTTACAGCTACGGTTAAATCTTTGGTTATTATCGCGAACTTAACTTAGGTATGAACCTCTTGTAACTGCTGTGGCCATCTTCGAATAAACTCCTCACGAAAAACACCTGGAACAGAGAACAGAATGCAAAAATATATTAACTAGCTATACCCGCGACTGCGTCCGCGTGGAACAGACAGACAAAAATTGTAAAAAATGTTATTTTGGTGTATATACCGTTGTTAGGGAATTTACTCTCTGCTACCAAAATGTTAGGGAAAGTACTACGTATATATATAGGGAAAAATATGTGGAAGCGTCTGTCTCGTACCTGTATGGTTCTGCGGATTTCTTGGGCTTCAGGGTCTCGAAGGTATCTTCGCTAGCTTTCCAGTTTCACAGTAGGTTTAACACAGTTCTAATTTGTTTTAATTCACAACACAAATGCGCGCGCGCGTCAAGGCCGCTGTACGGTCAGTTCAGTACTGTAGGTAAGAGAGGGGAACAGAAACCGCGGGAACACAAACTAACGGACTCTAATATAATAATCTATGCTTACGATGGTACAGGGTAGATTTTGAACAACCGTATTTATATTCATATGCATGTAGTAAAAAACGGTTATTTCAACATTAATGGCACATGGCATATGTTATATCAACGACGGTAAATACTTTATTTATTTGTCAAATGTAATCTTTAAGATATATATATATCTATATCTCAGGACAATTCACACAGCGCCATCTAGACTCAAGTTAAGCTAGCTAAAGCTTGTGTTATAGGTACTAGATAACTCAAACATAGGTATACATAGATTATTTTTTGTAAATACATACATATTATACATAGAAAACACCCAGACCGATACAAACAATCATACTCATGAATACAAATGTTTGTGCCGGGCGAGGAATCGAACCCGCGACCATCGGTCGTAAAGCGGTGTGCTAGACCGCTAGACCACCGAGGTCGTCGAATATTACAAACATACACTCCAATTTTATTTATATGTATAGATTAGTGCATTAAAATTTGAATAAATAAAAAAAATCGTACCTGTGTGATACCAACGAACAGCATCAGCAGTATTTGCCATATCGACCACGTCAGCACCCTGCAACAGAAGTACTACTTGTACAAACTCATTTCAAATATATTTTTTATACTAAGATGTTGGCGAACTAAGTAACTAAGTTACTAAGATGTTTGTTTTATACTCTGATGCTTACCATCCGATGGGCCACTTGATTGGCCCATCTGATGGTAAGCATCAGAGGTGACTCTTAAGAAACCTTAATATAACCTTCTTGAAAACCCCATGCTGTAGTCTCGGCAGGTAGTTCATTCCACAATGTAAGTGTACGAAGAAACTCCTCTGAAACCACTTTTTTTATTTAGGGGTGGACTATCGTCAGGTGCTTGGACCTGTAGCACTGCGACCTACATAGATCTATTGTGCTCGCCCTTTTTCAGAGTTCGCTACCTAGACCCGTCAGAGACAAGAATTGAAGGATATTCTTAGGAGCGATGGTTTTTATCTCCTCAGGATAGAGTGTATATACCAAAGGAGATATTGTTTATGCATGAGTGGGCTAACCATATAGGATGTGTAGTGGCGTTTCCTCTTCTGCTTGACAAAAGTGTGTTGTAATATGGCAATAGTTTTCATGTTCGGGATTTTCATTTAATGTTATACATAGACACTTATATAAATACCTATGCATTGTAAATAAACCGGATTAAAAAAAAAAGTATTTCAATTGAGTTTCTTGCCAGTTCTTCTCAATTGGATCTATATACCGAACTGGACGGTAGGGAAAAAAAATATAATGTAAAAACTTGACGTTCATAAGCGGCTAAAATGTCTTACATGAATAAATGATTTTTTGAATTTTAATTTGTATAATAATAAACTATAATAAAATATAATAACGATACTACTCTAATATTTTTTTTCGGACTACTCTAATACTGTTGGCCGTAGCTGGCTTTTATACAGCAAGAGCCCACGACGGCCAGACATACGTCATATTAGTAAACGTGAAAGTTGTTGTATAGAAAATATCTAACTTAAAATTCATAGCGCTGACAATATTATCTGATTGAACAGAGATTAAGTGCGTAGCGGTTTCTATGTTGATTGTCGCATGCCCAATCCTTGTTAATGTAAATATAATTAAATCAATATTTATTCAAAAGAGCAACATACAAGTTTCTCGCTCATTCTTCTTGTAATGAGTCTGCATTTAGAATGAGTGGTAGAATAAAAAAACTTGACTATTCAAAAGTGCTTATATTAAGTTTATTTGAATAAAGATTATTTCTATTTCTAAAAGTAAGCTATTGCACCAAAGACATAATTATAATTCTATAATTATAATTCCCCAACACAGGTAAGAACGATCCCCAAACATGAAACCTGGATCGTGGTTCCTTTAGCAGGTACCAGGTAACAGAGGTATAAAATTTCATAGAGCAGCGCAAGTTATAATAATGCTACGAACAATATATGAAAATATGGAGTTTCTTAAAATAACGAATTTGATATGATTTTTTTACACCTTTGTTACCTGGTACCTGCTAAAGGAACCACGATCCAGGTTTCATGTTTGGGGATCGTTCTTACCTGTGTTGGGGACACACATACAACAACTCTCACGTTTACTAAAATGACGTATGTCTGGCCGTCGTGGGCTCTTGAGCTATTACAGCTTTACCGGACGATAGAGAGCGAGTGCAGATGGCACTCCAAACCAAAGGACTTATAGAGCAGCTGAAGCCCAACTCCCATCTGACGGATACGACTTTATTTATTTATTTATTTATTTAACTTTAATGCACAAAAACAATGTGTACATATGGCGGACTTAACACCATGCGGCGTTATCTACCAGTCAACCATGAGTGGTGCAGAGAAAGATTGTTGGCGGTGCACTAATATAAATGAGTAATGTTAAAAAAAAAAAAAGATATATATAAATATAAAGCAAAATATTTAGTCTGAGGCCACCGCGACGGATTCGAGCGTCATCTCAGGCCGTCGTAATTTCGATTCCTCGATCGGTCGGAGGGGTGCTCCGATATATTGTAAGTGAAGATGAATGAGCACCTGGAGCACATGTCCTCGGCGAGGTTCCGGTCGCGTGCCTCGTGCGCCGAGTGTAGTTCCTGCAGACGGCGCGCCGTCGCCACGTGGTCCCGCACGCGCGTTACGCACTCAGATATGTCGCGGACACGCATCATGTACGTCTCTGCTGCGTTCCCTACAAACAAACAATGGGTTTGAATTGAATTTGAATGATTTTAGGGGATTATTTGCTGATTTTTAAACTTTTATATTTAATATAATATACATTATTTAAAAGTTAGTTTTACCTAAGTGCCGTTTGACGAAAGTTAGTAATTCGTTTTATGGAAATTGCGTAAGGTTTTACAACAAACTGTCAGAGTCTGTACAGTGGACCCCCGGTAGTCCGACAATCATTTTGCAGGGCAGTGTCGGACTATCGAATTTGTCGGATTATAGAGTACTGCCTAAGACCCCTTATAATCCGATTTTTTTTACAAAAGAGTACCTTGTAATCCGACAAATTATAGATCCAATGATGATTCTATATATTATATACATATACAGTGGACCCCCGGTTACCCGACAAACGTTTTGCAGGGCAGTGTCGGACTATCGTATTTGTCGGATTATAGAGTGCTGCTTAAGGGTCCTCTGCTTACAGTCCGGAATTTTTTACAAAAGAGTATCTTGTAATCCGACAAATCACAGATCCAGTGATAAGATTCTATGTTATATATGTATGTATGTATATGCACTCTGAAGTATATTGTCAAAGTAATATTCAATAACAAATAATAGACAATGTCGGATTACAAGGGGGGCCGGATTAGACAGGGGCCGGATTACTGCGGGTCCACTGTATTCAATTTGCCAGAAAACAGAATTCAAATGTTTTATAAATTATTTCCTTTGTAAAAAAGCTTATTATAAAAATTGATGAATTTATAAATGATAATAATGTTTTTGTAGAAAATATCTAACTTAAAATTCATAGCGCTGACAATGTTATCTGATTGAACAGAGATTAAGTGCGTAGCGGTTTCTATGTTGATTGTCGCATGCCTAATCTTTGTTAATGTAAATATAATTAAATCAATATATATTAAAAAGAGCAACACACAAGTTTCTCGCTCATTCTTCTTGTGATGAGTCTGCATTTAGAATGAGTGATAGAATAAAAAAACTTGACTATTCAAAAGTGCTTATATTAAGTTTATTTGAATAAAGATTATTCCTATTTCTAAAAGCAAGCTATTGCACCAAAGACATAATTATAATTCTATAATTATGTATTTGTTTCATAGACAGATGTGGGGCATTTGGCAATTTTAATTAACTAGGTGTACTCGCGACTTCGTCCGCGTGGAATTTAACTTTATTTTTCTAAAATAAAAGTAGCCTAAGTTACTCCTTATTCAGCTACCGGCCAAAAATGTCTCGTCAATATCGGTCCAACCATTTCAAAGATTAGCCGGAACAAACAGACAGACGGACAAAGTTTGTAAAAAAATGTTATTTTGGCGTATGTACCATATTTATATTCATATGCAAGTAGTAAAAAACGGTTATTTCAATATTACAAACAGACACTCCAATTTTATTTATATGAATAGGTAACAAAAAGGTGTGAAAGCTGCCTCTACTGAAGAACGCGGGAAAGCTCCTTGTGGCGGCGCGAGTATCCTTCTTTTTCTTTTTGTTTTTCTTTCATGAACGCCTATTCTCGAAAGAGTGTATGGGCCCTTCAAGAACAGAATAGAAAGACATTTATTCAAATAAACTTAATTTAAGCCCTTTTGAATAGTCATAACATAACATTACAAGTATTACGTAAGCACATCGTGGTCTTTGCTTTGCTTATTTTGGATGACATGGGGGTGGAGTCTAGATAATGATGACGTCATCAGTAGTCATTTACTTTTTTACACAAATAGCAACCCTCACATTGTCTTTGTTAAAAAACAATACATTCATTGAAAAATGTGTACTGTTATGCCCGAGCCCAGTACAAAGATAATACTGAGCCTGAATAATTCCCTATTTACATCGTTATATAAAAACAGTTTAGACAGTTAGTCAAACCAGTCCGCGTCGATAACTCATTTCACTTGCACCTACATAGTTTGGGATAAGTTTATAATATAATAACTTGTGAAGCCACATTTTCGAAATAAACTATCTGAAATCAAGTGACTTTTGTGTTGTGTTTTAAAAAGGTTTTTTTTTTAAACCCAAACGGGGTCTGCCGCCTAACTCTGAGCTATATCTCCCGCTCTATCTTCCTCGCCATCTTTGGCGAGGTAACTTTTTTACAGAAGGAGCTTACTGCCACCCACGACCTCTCGCTACTGACCAAACTCTGAGCTATATCTCCCGCTCTATCTTCCTCGCCATCTTTGGCGAGGTAACTTTTTTACAGAAGGAGCTTACTGCCACCCACGACCTCTGGCTACTGACCAAACTCTGAGCTATATCTCCCGCTCAATCTTCCTCGCCATCTTTGGCGAGGTAACTTTCTTACAGAAGGAGCTTACTGCCACCCAAGTCCTCTCGCTACTGACCAAACTCTGAGCTATATCTCCCGCTCAATCTTCCTCGCCATCTTTGGCGAGGTAACTTTCTTACAGAAGGAGCTTACTGCCACCCAAGTCCTCTCGCTACTGACCAAACTCTGAGCTATATCTCCCGCTCTATCTTCCTCGCCATCTTTGGCGAGGTAACTTTCTTACAGAAGGAGCTTACTGCCACCCAAGTCCTCTCGCTACTGACCAAACTCTGAGCTATATCTCCCGCTCTATCTTCCTCGCCATCTTTGGCGAGGTAACTTTCTTACAGAAGGAGCTTACTGCCACCCACGACCTCTGGCTACTGACCAAACTCTGAGCTATATCTCCCGCTCAATCTTCCTCGCCATCTTTGGCGAGGTAACTTTCTTACAGAAGGAGCTTACTGCCACCCAAGTCCTCTCGCTACTGACCAAACTCTGAGCTATATCTCCCGCTCTATCTTCCTCGCCATCTTTGGCGAGGTAACTTTCTTACAGAAGGAGCTTACTGCCACCCAAGTCCTCTCGCTACTGACCAAACTCTGAGCTATATCTCCCGCTCAATCTTCCTCGCCATCTTTGGCGAGGTAACTTTCTTACAGAAGGAGCTTACTGCCACCCAAGTCCTCTCGCTACTGACCAAACTCTGAGCTATATCTCCCGCTCAATCTTCCTCGCCATCTTTGGCGAGGTAACTTTCTTACAGAAGGAGCTTACTGCCACCCACGACCTCTGGCTACTGACCAAACTCTGAGCTATATCTCCCGCTCAATCTTCCTCGCCATCTTTGGCGAGGTAACTTTCTTACAGAAGGAGCTTACTGCCACCCAAGTCCTCTCGCTACTGACCAAACTCTGAGCTATATCTCCCGCTCAATCTTCCTCGCCATCTTTGGCGAGGTAACTTTCTTACAGAAGGAGCTTACTGCCACCCAAGTCCTCTCGATACTGACCAAACTCTGAGCTATATCTCCCGCTCAATCTTCCTCGCCATCTTTGGCGAGGTAACTTTCTTACAGAAGGAGCTTACTGCCACCCAAGTCCTCTCGCTACTGACCAAACTCTGAGCTATATCTCCCGCTCAATCTTCCTCGCCATCTTTGGCGAGGTAACTTTCTTACAGAAGGAGCTTACTGCCACCCAAGTCCTCTCGCTACTGACCAAACTCTGAGCTATATCTCCCGCTCAATCTTCCTCGCCATCTTTGGCGAGGTAACTTTCTTACAGAAGGAGCTTACTGCCACCCAAGTCCTCTCGCTACTGACCAAACTCTGAGCTATATCTCCCGCTCAATCTTCCTCGCCATCTTTGGCGAGGTAACTTTCTTACAGAAGGAGCTTACTGCCACCCAAGTCCTCTCGCTACTGACCAAACTCTGAGCTATATCTCCCGCTCAATCTTCCTCGCCATCTTTGGCGAGGTAACTTTCTTACAGAAGGAGCTTACTGCCACCCAAGTCCTCTCGCTACTGACCAAACTCTGAGCTATATCTCCCGCTCAATCTTCCTCGCCATCTTTGGCGAGGTAACTTTTTTACAGAAGGAGCTTACTGCCACCCAAGTCCTCTCGCTACTGACCAAACTCTGAGCTATATCTCCCGCTCAATCTTCCTCGCCATCTTTGGCGAGGTAACTTTCTTACAGAAGGAGCTTACTGCCACCCAAGTCCTCTCGATACTGACCAAACTCTGAGCTATATCTCCCGCTCAATCTTCCTCGCCATCTTTGGCGAGGTAACTTTCTTACAGAAGGAGCTTACTGCCACCCAAGTCCTCTCGCTACTGACCAAACTCTGAGCTATATCTCCCGCTCTATCTTCCTCGCCTTCTTTGGCGAGGTAACTTTTTTACAGAAGGAGCTTACTGCCACCCAAGTCCTCTCGCTACTGACCAAACTCTGAGCTATATCTCCCGCTCAATCTTCCTCGCCATCTTTGGCGAGGTAACTTTCTTACAGAAGGAGCTTACTGCCACCCAAGTCCTCTCGCTACTGACCAAACTCTGAGCTATATCTCCCGCTCAATCTTCCTCGCCATCTTTGGCGAGGTAACTTTCTTACAGAAGGAGCTTACTGCCACCCAAGTCCTCTCGCTACTGACCAAACTCTGAGCTATATCTCCCGCTCAATCTTCCTCGCCATCTTTGGCGAGGTAACTTTCTTACAGAAGGAGCTTACTGCCACCCAAGTCCTCTCGCTACTGACCAAACTCTGAGCTATATCTCCCGCTCAATCTTCCTCGCCATCTTTGGCGAGGTAACTTTTTTACAGAAGGAGCTTACTGCCACCCAAGTCCTCTCGCTACTGACCAAACTCTGAGCTATATCTCCCGCTCAATCTTCCTCGCCATCTTTGGCGAGGTAACTTTCTTACAGAAGGAGCTTACTGCCACCCAAGTCCTCTCGATACTGACCAAACTCTGAGCTATATCTCCCGCTCAATCTTCCTCGCCATCTTTGGCGAGGTAACTTTCTTACAGAAGGAGCTTACTGCCACCCAAGTCCTCTCGCTACTGACCAAACTCTGAGCTATATCTCCCGCTCAATCTTCCTCGCCATCTTTGGCGAGGTAACTTTTTTACAGAAGGAGCTTACTGCCACCCACGACCTCTGGCTACTGACCAAACTCTGAGCTATATCTCCCGCTCTATCTTCCTCGCCTTCTTTGGCGAGGTAACTTTTTTACAGAAGGAGCTTACTGCCACCCAAGTCCTCTCGCTACTGACCAAACTCTGAGCTATATCTCCCGCTCTATCTTCCTCGCCTTCTTTGGCGACGTAACTTTTTTACAGAAGGAGCTTACTGCCACCCACGACCTCTGGCTACTTACTGTTATGCCCGAGCCCAGTACAAAGATAATGCTGAGCCTGAATAATACCCTATTTACATCGTTATATAAAAACAGTTTAGACAGTTAGTCAAATCAGTCCGCGTCGATAACTCATTGCACTTGCACCTACATAGTTTGGGATAAGTTTGTTAATATAATAACTTGTGAGACCACATTTTCGAAATAAACTATCTGAAATCAAGTGACTTTTGTGTTTTAAAAAGGTTTTTTTTTTAAAAACCCAAACGGGGTCTGCCGCCTAACAAAAAAAAGTAATCATGCGGGGAGGTAAAAGCTTTGCTTAATTTAGCTGACAAGGGGGATGGGGGTAAATAATTGTAATAAATCTGCTTACGTCATACTTGAATGGCGCCTATGTATAAAGGCAGGTATTAGTGGGAAATCCATCTCACCTAACTCCATCTCCTTATCATCATCATAGTCCTTCTCGGGGACGTCTTCTGTGTCTATCATGAGGTCGAAGAATACCTGAAACAGTAATATCAGAGTTGGTAAACTTTTTGTTACATTATGAGTAAGCCGGGCCGGCGGAAACGGACATGCAACGCATGTGGGCGCCTCGTCGAAGTGGGCGCCATCGCGAGATTCGGATGTATACTATAATTTTATTATATTTTAATAAAATTATAGTATATATTACATATCCGAATCATCTGTAGATTACTTAAACAATTTTAATAAATAATGTAACTTAATTATTAATACAGAGTGTTCAAAATCTACCCTGTACCATCGTAAGCACAGATTATTATATTAGAGTCCGTTAGTTTGTGTTCCCGCGTCTTTCCTTCCCCTCCCTTACCTAGTACTGAACTGACCGTACAGCGGCCTTGACGCGCGCGCGCATTTTCGTTGTGAATTAAAATAAATTAGAACTGTGTTAAACCTACTGTGAAACTGAAAAGCTAGCGAAGATATCTTCGAGACCCTGAAGCCCAAGAAATCCGCAGAACCATACAGGTACGAGACAGACGCTTCCACATATTTTTCCCTATATATATATAAAGTATTTTCCCTAACATTTTGGTAGCAGAGAGTAAATTCCCTAACACAGAGACATAAACCGCGCTACGACAAAATATGCATGCGGGCGCTGAGGACCAGCGCCGGCCCTGTGAGACAGATGCTTGCGAGTGTTCATCATTGCCTTGCCTTCATCCTATTACTTGTGGTCGGCGCGGTATGTCATTCTCTTCCACTGCTCTGCGTGTGTTGCTCTTGCAAATTCATAGCGCTGACAATGTTATCTGATTGAACAGAGATTAAGCGCGTAGCCGTTTCTAAGTTGATTGTCGCATGCCTAATCCTTGTTAATGTAAATCTAATTAAAAAAATATTTATTTAAAAGAACAACACACAAGTTTCTTGCTCATTCTTCTTGTGATGAGTCTGCATCCCGAATGAGTGGTAGAATAAAAAAAATGTGACTATTCAGACTTATATTAAGTTTATTTGAATAAAGATTCTTTCTATTTCTTTTAAATAATTGTTGTAATTTTGCATTTTTGAGTTGATATATGTGAATACAAACTACCAATTAGTACTAATTCATTAGAGTCTAAATATTATATACACAATCAACTGGTTGAGTAACTAAATACAATTAAATCATTCATAGTGATAAGAGCAGACCAGTCCCTACAAGCAGCACTCGTTCTCGAGTATGACATAATGTATGTAATAATAATAATAATAATAATAATAAGGGGCAAGAGGGAGTAATCTGATTAATCAAATTCAAAAATCATTTATCATGTAGGACATTTTAACCACTTATGAATGTAATATTTTTTATATTACAATTTTTTCCCTACCGTCCAGTTCAGTATATATATCCAATTGAGAAGAACTGGCAAGAAACTCAATTGAACATATTTTTTTAAAAGCCAGTCCATTTAGTTTAGCTCTAACCGCGACTTTGTCCATGTGGAATTTTATTTTATTTTTCTAAAATAAAATAACATTATTGTTAGGGAAACTACTCTCTGCTACCAAAATGTTAGGGAAAATACTATATATATATAGGGAAAAATATGTGTGGAAACGTCTGTCACGTACCTGTATGGTTCTGCGGATTTCTTGGGCTTCAGGGTCTCGAAGATATCTTCGCTAGCTTTCCAGTTTCACAGTAGGATTCACAGTAGGTTTAACACAGTTCTAATTTATTTTAATTCACAACACAATGCGCGCGCGCGTCAAGGCCGCTGTACGGTCAGTTCAGTACTGGGTAAGGGAGGGGAACAGAAACCGCGGGAACACAAACTAACGGACTCTAATATAATAATCTGTGCTTACGATGGTACAGGGTAGATTTTGAACAATTATAATTACCGTTTTCTGACTGAAAGTGCTGAAGGTGTTATCAAAACAAAAGCGGTAGTCCCCTTCCAGGGTGGCGGTGTGCCGATGCGAGTTCTCTGGTTTCTTATAATCAGCTACGATGACCAGACCTGCGGGGTCGGCCAGCTGGAACGATATATCTAGCTCTCCATGTGTTGCATCTATTACCTGGAAAGAACAATTACAATGACAATCCACACAGCGCGGGGGAAGGGGATTGTTAGTAATAGTAATAGTAATAATAATAATAATAACATAACACAACCTGCAAAATACGATAGCCGAAAAAATAACAAAATATAAAGAATTACAAACAGAAATAACCCGACTCTGGCACTTACAAAAAGTAACAATAGTCCCAATCGTCCTCTCAAGTACAGGTGTCGTACCGAAACACATGCATCAGTCACTAAATACCCTGAACTTGCCCCCTAATATATACTGGCAAACTACAGAAGGCTGTAGTTCTAAACACATGCCGCATTGTTAGAAAGTTTCTACAGACAGATTAGGCCTACATTTGTAATATGGTATATCCACCTGAAATAGAACATAACAAGATTACCGGCAAAATTTGAGAAAAAATAATATAAAAAAAATAATAATAATAATCTCAGGACAATTCACACAGCGCCATCTAGACCCAAGTTAAGCTAGCTAAAGCTTGTGTTATGGGTACTAGACAACTGATACATATACATAGATTTTTTTTGTAAATACATACATATTATACATAGAAAACACCCAGACCGATACAAACAATCATACTCATGAATACAAAGTTTATGCCGTGCGAGGAATCGAACCCACGACCATCGGTTGTATAGCGGTGTGCTAGACCACAGAGGTCGTCAAAGTAATGTGGATTGATAACCCCATTGGTAGCAATGTACCATGTCAGGTCGACCTCCACGCGGTTCCCCCTGGATACCATCTTGTTAAATTCCTGGTGAATTTGTCACGATGTGCTAACTGACCTGAACTCATGCTCATCTTATCATCCTCCACTGGTGCCCCGCCAGCGTATACCGTTAGCGCAGGCAAGTGCACCATTCCATTATCATGCGCAAAAAAAAATACACAGCGCCATCTAGTCCCAAGCTAAGCGAAGCTTATGTTGATGGCACTAGACAACTATCTACATATACGAATAAAATTGGACTCTGTTTGTAATATTGAAATAACAGTTTTTTACTACATGCAAGTGAATATAAATACGGTACGTACACCAAAAAAAAAAACCACTTTTTACAATTTTTGTCTGTCTGTCTGTTTGTTCCAGTTAATCTCTAAAATGGCGGGACTAATTTTAACGGAACTTTTTTGGCAGGTAACTGATGTAATAAAGAGTAATTTAGGCTACTTTTATTTTAGAAAAATAAAGTTAAATTCCACACAGATGAAGTCGCGGGAACAGCTAGTACTTAATACTTATTATACATTCTCCCAGATCAAAAAGAAACAATCATACTCATGACTACAAATGTCTGTACCGTGCGAGGAATCGAAGCTGCTTCCACAGGAAGTGAGACGGTGTAAACTAAACCACTAAACACTTGAAATTGAATACTGAACAGAATTTTAATAACTCAGAAGTCGAATTATCTGCCAATTTCGGTGATACTTCCATAGTACTTATAATACAATCAAGTTTGAACCCCTAGCGGTGCTTTCAGACTAAAGTTATATCCATCAAGCGGGAGTTGGCCTTCAGCTGCTCCATAAGTCCTACCTTTGGCTTGGAGTGTCATCTGCACTCTCCTCCTATCGTTCGGTGAAGCTGTAAAGGCCAGCTGCAGCCAACATCATAAGAATCCGAAAACAAAACTTGACTTTAATGCTTATGTTTACATTCAGCCGCTTCCCCTGCCACTCGCGCTGTCGGAAATATTGCCGGGCGACAACTGAGCGAGAGGGCTGAATGTAAAAACACGCTGCCACTCGCGCTGCCAGTCCTTTGACTCGCGCACGAAAAACCGACAATCGAGGGAGCGCTGGGTAGCGCGAGTGGCAGCGCCAATGGCATGGGAAGTGTTTCCACTCGTGTTTACACTCTCGCGCTGCACACTTCCGTGCTCACTTCCCTGCCCACTTGGGCTGAGTGTAAATTGGGCATAAATTAATGTTTTAAAGGTTATGAAGAGATAACTATACCTGATACTCTATGTCGATGATTTCATTCGGAGACACTTTCTGGAAGAAACAGTCCATTTTCCCAGCTTGTATCGTAAATGTTATATCTTTTTCGAACGCGAAAACAACACTGAATATCGTGATTAGAAAAATGTACCGCATATTTTCCTGTAGTACGTCCGAAGCAAAATTTCTGTGATCTAAAAGGACGTAGCGAACGAACCGTGTTATTTTTAGCAACCACAATGGTCGGTTGTTTATTTATATTGTATTTTAAATTTATACGATACTCGTTAGAAAATAAAAACGCAAAAATAAATGTAAATAAAGAAAAATAAAAATGACGTTCAGCTTTTTTTACATTATTATTTTAATGGGCTTTAGATACACAGAACATTGTGAGCAACACACTAAAACGTAAAAAGCCGATTTACAGTAATCAAGGTATTAAAAAAGTGTATTTAAAAACCACATTAACTGAAATAAATCAATTAATAACTTATAGTTAATTTAAATTTTACGCAAAATATTGTGCGCACGATATTATGAAGCTAAAGTTCCAAGATAGTTGTTTTTACTAATGGTAACTCGAATTGGTCATTCAGTCGTTCTAGTGACCACAGATTAAAAATGAAAACAAAATAAAAAACAATGTGACAGCAGGAAACAACGTCTATATTATTTGTATTTAGGGCAGGTCACAAATAATTAGCAAAAAGAACACAAATATTAGTTATATTCTTCATGCGTTAGCTAGAAAATATATAAGCTAAAATGTCCGTTCCCAGTGGCTCTGATGGGCCCGGCGTAATTCCCAACAGTGCATTGTCGTTTGTTGCGCCTGCGCAGCCCTGCCCGGATCCAGAAGTCCCGAATAACTTGGAGGATACGACGAAAGAACAAATGGCACAAGGTATAAATAATTTTACTATACCAATTAGTGAAATAATTTATTGTCACGACTCATATCGCAGATGGGGTAGTCAGAGACGTAAAATGTTCATGTTGTGAACGCAACACTTGACATGCCCATGTTTCGGGTACTTTGAATCTAATGTGGTAAGAAATTAACTTTGTTCATATATTTTTGGCTGCATATCAGAGTTTCTTTTACCATAATCTTTTTTTTTTATTAGTTCCTGTTATTTTACTTATGGATGATAATAGAATGGTGCACCTGTCTGCGCTAACGGTATACGCTGGCGAGGCACCAGTGGAGGATGATAGGATGAACATGAGGTCAGGCCAGTTAACATATCACGACAAATTCACTAGGAATTTATCATGATGGTCATTGTGTTTCCTCCTGGTAAGAGGAAATATAGAGGTCAACCTGACCATACCTGACCTGACCTGATATACCATACATTGCTAGCAATTAATCACCAGACCCCATTACTAAGAATACCCTTCCCATATTAAATTAATACAAATATATTTTCTGGATATATTTTATGTACCCGTTGAGTTTCTTGCCAATTCTTCTCAACAAACAGCTAGTCAAACTGGTGGGATAGTAATAAAAAATATAACATACACAATAGGCCAAAATTTGTTAATAAATAATTTTGTACTAGACTTTTTTTTAATGATATTTTTTATATAAAACATATACATTACTTTTAATTGGGTCATAACAGAATAATTTAAATAAAAAATAAAAAAAATAAATAAAAGTATGTACCTCTCTAGACATTTTGACTTAACATAGTCAAAATGTCTAGAGAGGTACCACTAGCAATGGTCACAAGCTGACTGGCCAGTTCATGACATATTGGTAGTAAGTTAATTGGTGTTAAGTTAATATTTAGTTAGATAATCCGACTCGTTGGGATCAAATGTTTGCTGGAGGAATATTGCAATTATTATTATTATTATTTTATTTATTTCAGATATTGATCCATCCATATTATGTTAGTAAAACAACTTATTAACTATGTTAGTAATTTACAATTTCATATATTTAATTCATATATTTATGTCTCTGTCCACGTCCAGAGGCCCTGGGTCCGCAGCAATGCAGCGATATCCAGTGCCCCTGAAGTGGACAGTCCGACATATTGGATATGGTGTTTAGGAGGCTGTTTGCGCTCCCCCGAATTCTACACATCAGTGATGCAGTTCTATTTCGCATTATGGCTTCAAAACCATCTATCCGCGCTGCTGCAAACATCTCTGATGCGCTACAAAATCGAGGGAGCCCAAACAACATCCTAAACCCATTATTATATTGTACGCGAAGAACGTTGTATGCCCTCTGCGTGTACCTAAACCACAGGCTGCACGTGTAAAACGACTGACAATACGCTTTAAACAACGTTGTCTTCACGTCGTTATCATACCGTGCAAACCTACGGGCCAGCACATTACATCGGACCGACAACGCTCTTCGCTCCCTCTCTATATCAGAATCATCACTTAAGTCTTCCGATACAATGTGACCGAGGTATTTAAATCGCGACACCCGATTCAATGGTGTACCATAAATACACAGCGCTGGCATATATTTTAGTTTGGTGTTATTACTATGCAATGTTTAATTTGTTGTATTATTGAAATAAAAAATGGTTTAAATATACTGTACATAGAATTTAATAGTGACGCCACGGAATGTTCTAGAAGAAGTGCAGAAATGTATATAAAGTTAAACAAAACAACATCGATGTTCTATGTGTGACATTTCAAATTTGAATTTTATAATTTTATTTTTAAATGTAATTATATGGTTATTTGCAATTACAAACAACTTGGTTAATATAAATAATGTATACTAAACACGAACATTTAGGAGTTTTTATTCCTAAAAAAATTATATGCAAAAGAGGTTGATATATAAATAAATTATTTAGAATTTTTTTATTTAAATTCCCAGATCGTCTCATACCGGCCGGTCTGAAAGCGCTGTGTGAAGCCTGCTCCAAGGTGTACCCTGACCAGCCCAACCCTCTTCAAGTGACCACCAGACTGAAATACTGGTATAAACAATATTCTAATCTCATAAATGTATATATCAGTCTTGCCTATTTCAGCAGCCAATACACAAGTATTGTAACTTGGTAACTTGTATTGTGATTGGTATTGTAACTTGTATTCTGTTTGTATTGTAACTTGTATTCTACTTAATTGTAACTTGTATTCTGTTTGTATTGTAACTTGTATTCTACTTATATTGTAACTTGTATTCTGTTTGTATTGTAACTTGTATTCTACTTGTATTGTAATCTGTGTTTCGTTGAAGAGTATTTTTTTTTTAATTAACTTAAATTTAGCATTTGCATAATTATGGGTGTAAATTAGTTCTTATTTTATAATAAGATACCTAAAACACACTATGACACACCATTGCACTCTACATATATATACATATCCCACACTTATTATATTACTGGCTTAACTCAAAAATTACAAATTTTAGAAAGTCCACTTTATGGCTGTGGATTTAAAGTCTAATTTCAAAAATTTCAATTTTCTGAATTTATTATCTTATCTAATCTTATTTTTATTCTTCAATTATTAAATTTAATATCACAAATAAATAAAATAGTGATTTCAAATTTCAAATGAACAGCTTTTCTCTAAATGCACATGAAAATAAAACACAGTTCTTACATATAAAAAAATATTTATAAATAAATTATCTTTCTATTGTTATTGCTAACCTACGAAATAGCTGGACCGATTTTGATGGGACTTTATCTCGCAGATCGCATATCTTGGAATTCCCAATTTACACTCAGCCCGAGTGGGCAGGGAAGTGAACAGCGCGAGAGTGTAAACACGAGTGGAAACACTTCCCATGCCATTGTCGCTGCCACTCGCGCTGCCGGCGCTCCCTCGATTGTCGGTTTTTCGTGCGCGAGTCAAAGGACTGGCAGCGCGAGTGGCAGCGTGTTTTTACATTCAGCCCTCTCGCTCAGTTGTCGCCCGGCAATATATCCGGCAGCGCGAGTGGCAGGGGAAGCGGCTGAATGTAAACGTAGCATAAGAAGCAACTTAGGCAACATTTTTATTATAAACGAGTGCTGTTTTAGGCTCGGCGGCCATGATCCCCTGGACTACATCAGTATGTACTGGAACCCTGGGAAGCCTGATGAACACATACCACCACACTGGCATTACATCAGGTATGTATGTACCATATTTGTTTGGGGCGGGGGATTGCTAATAAAAGGTTTTTTTTATGGATGATAATGGAAAGGTGCACCCGCCCGCGCTAACGGTTTACGCTGGCGTTACTTGTGGGTAGATGGACTGGTTTTGTCGTTTAAAACGTGGTCGGATTTTCGTTATCATCGTTTTTTTATACATATTTATTAAATTTGTGTTATATAGTAAGTAATATATGCATAAAGAAATATTACTAGTGTGTTGGAAAAATAAAAATAATAATATTACTTTATATATATAATATTACTAGCTGTTCCCGCGACTTCGTCCGCGTGGAATTTCACTTTATTTTTCTAAAATAAAAATAGCATAAAGAACTAAAAATTATTTTGTTCGTCTTAATTTATTCATTCCATTAGGTACTGATAGGTTCAGACTAATACATTTACATCCTGTTTCATCCCTTATTTTGTCCCCATGGGGGTTGAATTTATCAAAATCCTATTTAAGCGAACGTCTTCATCATAGTACCATCTAATCTTTAATTTCAGTTCAATCAGTCGAAAATCTAAGAAGATTTATACAAACGTTCATCCCTTATTTTATCCCCTTAGGAGTGGAATTTATCAAAATCCTTTCTTAGGGGATGCCTACGTCATAGTAGCTTTATGCATTTAAAATTGACAAAGTTTCGTACAAACTTTCATCCCCTATTTTATCCCCTTGGGGTGGAATTAATCAAAATCCTTTTTTAGGGGATGCCTACGTCATAGTAGCTTTATGCATTTAAAATTGACAAAGTTTCGTACAAACTTTCATCCCCTATTTTATCCCCTTGGGGTGGAATTAATCAAAATCCTTTCTTAGAGATGCCTATGTCATAGTAGCTTTATGCATTTAAAATTGACAAAGTTTCGTACAAACTTTCATCCCCTATTATATCCCCTTGGGGTGGAATTAATCAAAATCCTTTCTTAACGGATGCCTACGTCATAACATGTACTTGCATGCCAAATTTCAGCCCGATCCGTCCAGTGGTTTGGGCTGTGCGTTGATAGACCACTATGTCAGTCACCTTTGAGTTATATATATTTAGATTGACGAAATATTAATATATAATTTATATTCTATTCTATAAATAAATAAATGATTGAATAAACAAATATATATGATGTATTCCCAGTTTCGGGCTGTCGGACTTGCATGGCGACGGGCGGGTGCATCCTCCGCCGGACCGCGTGGTGCTGGCGGCGCCCCCCGCGCCCGCAGGCGAGCCCCCGGTCTCCGGCTGCGGCCTGGAGCTGACGTTCCGTCTGGCGGCGGCCCCGCCCCCCGCGCCGCCCCCGCTGTGGCCCGCCGCGCTGCTGCAGGCTCTCGCTAGATATATATTTGCGACTGGTGAGTTCAAACAGTGTTTCATAGGTTATAGTAACCATTTACCATCAGATTGGCCGTATGCTTGCTAACGTCGCCCGCTCGCAACCGCTACGAACTCTTTCTTAGTGCAATCAATTCAGCTCTATGAATTTTAAGTTTCTTCTACAACATTATCATCTATACATATAAATAAAATTGGAGTGTCTGTTTGTAATATTGAAATAACCGTTTTTTACTACATGCATATGAATATAAATACGGTACATACACCAAAATAACATTTTTTACAGTTTTTATCTGTCTGTATGTTTGTTCCGGCTAATCTCTTGAATGGCTGGACCGATTTTGACGGGACTTTCTTTGGCAGATAATGTAATAAAGAGTAACTTAAGCTACTTTTATTCTAGAAAAATAAAGTTAAATTCGACGCGAACGAAGTTGCGGGAACAGCTAGTCATTGTTATAATATATAAACTTTACAATTTTATAATAAGCTTTTTTACAAAGAAAGTGTTTTATACGACACTAGCTACTCGCCCCGGCTTCGCATGGGTGTACATGTATTATACATATAAACCTTCATCTTGAATCGCTCTATCTATTAAAAAAACCGCTTCAAAATCCGTTGCGTAGTTTTAAAGATTTAAGCATACATAGGGACGGAGAGACAGCGACAGCGACTTTGTTTTATACTATGTATGGATTTGAATCTGTTTTCTAACAGATTTTCATAAAAGTAGTGTACTTACATAAGCACCTTTATTCCGTAGGTAATAAATTCTACGCGGGCGATCACATATCGTGGCACGCGCCGCTCGACGGCGGCGGGTCCAGGGTTCGACACCTGCTCGTGGCACAAGATCCACAGTTGCCGACCACCAGTGGTCCCTACGGTACAGTTAACTTTCTCCAGGTATGTACACTTAAAAATTATACTTTTTATCAATTATACTAGCTTTTGCACGCGGCTTCGCTCGCGTTAATTTATCCCCTTAGGGGTGGCATTTATCAAAATCCTTTCTTAGTGGATGCTTACGTCATAGTAGCTTTATGCATGCAAAGTCTCAGCCCGATCGGTTTAAAATTGACAGTTTCATACAAACTTTCATCCCCTATTTTATCCCCTTGGGGGTAGAATTAATCAAAATCCTTTCTTAGCGGATGCCTACGTCATAACATCTACCTGCATGACAAATTTCAGCCCGATCCGTCCAGTGGTTTGGGCTGTGCGTTGATAGATCACTATGTCAGTCACCTTTGACGACCTCGGTGGTTTGGTGGTCACACCGTTTTACTTCGGATGGTAGCGGGTTCGATTCCTTGCACGGTGTAAATATTTGTAGTCATGAGTATGATTGTTTGTATCGGTCTGGGTGTTTTCTATGTATATTATGTACTAGCTGTTCCCGCAACTTCGTTCGCGTCGAATTTAACTTTACTTTTCTAGAATAAAAGTAGCTTAAGTTACTCTTTATTACAAAAAAGTCCCGTCAAAATCGGTCCAGCCATTTCAGAGATTAGCCGGAACAAACAGACAGACAGACGACAAAAATTGTAAAAAATGATATTTTGGTGTATGTACCGTATTTATATTCATATGCATGTAGTAAAAAACGGTTATTTCAATATTACAAACAGACACTCCAATTTTATTTATATGTATAGATGTACACACGTTAGAAAGCCGGGGCGAGTAGTTAGTTTTACATAATAAAATAAAGTCGCTGTCGCTGTCCGTCCCTATGTATGCTTAAATCTTTAAAACTACGCAACGGATTTCGAAGCGCTTTTTTTAATAGATAGATCGATTCAAGAGGAAGGTTTATATATATAATACATGTACACCCGAGAGAAGCCGCGGCGAGTAGCTAGTACTGTTTAAAACAGTATCGTTGGCAACCCTAAATGTATTTATACGTATAATTAGTAAAAATCACGGGATCTTACCACGTTTTATATTTATTTGCTGAGTTCCCGATATTTCGGTAGTGTTTCAACCACCATGATCACGGGTAAAGTGAAGAGCAGCGGGTAGATGGAAAATGAAATATTTTTATGGGCAGACATATGCGTCTACCTTCACACGTCTTCGTTTGTTGCTACTACTGGAACTCGCTCGATATTCATCTCGGCAAACAGTACTCACCTAAATGCATTATTTAAATATTTAAGTGATGCTTACAGATTAGCTCCAGTCATCTTAATATCTGTATATAATACCTATATATCTTTATCTGTGCAGTTGGTTGGATGCACGGGCCGTGAACTGCGAGCAGCACAGCGAGGGTCCGGGTTCGATGTCCTGAAGCTGATCGGCAATGATCACAGGTTGTTCAACGGTCTCAATAGTCTAGCTGTTTAGCACACGGTTTTACTTCCGATGGTCGCGGGTTCGATTCCTCGCACGGTGCAAACATTTGTATTCATGAGTATGATTGTTTGTATCGGTCTGGCTGTTTTCTATGTATAATATGTATTTATAAAAAAAAATATCTATGTATTTGTATCAGTTAGGGCCGTAAATTACGTGAGGTGTTTTTTTGAATTTTCTGTAGGTGAGATGTCGTGAGATTTTATTCAACCCCCAACCCCCAAACTCACGTGAGATGTAACAAAATGTGGGTTTCTTACGTAAACGCGTTGGATTGTTATTGTAAAAAGGAAAGAAATTACGTAATCATGAGGGGAGGGGGTAAGATCTTTGCTTACTTTTGCTGACAAGGGGGATAGGGGTAAATAATTGTAATAAATATGCTTAGGTAATACTTGAACGGCCCCATAGGCCATTTTTGCCATATGTTTGTTTAATCTGCAGTGTCCTGTGATAGCCCAAGAGCCCACGACGGCCAGACATACGTGATTTTAGTAAACGTGAAAGTTGTTGTATGTGTGTCCCCAACACAGGTAAGAACGATCCCCAAACATGAAACCTGGATCGTGGTTTCTTTGGCAGGTAACAGGTAACAAAGGTGTACAAAAATCATATCAAATTCGTTATTTTAAGAAACTCCATATTTTCATATATTGTTCGTAGCATTATCATAACTTGCGCTGCTCATTGCCAGACACTTAGTGTGGTTCCAACCCCCCGCCGGACCCCCCTAAACTATACTATTTTATATATAAACTTACGTCATTTTAATAAAGCTGAAAATAAAAGTACTGCTGCATCGACGTATCATTTCTGAAACTACCCAATAATAGGATATTTTTGAATGCAAAGAAAGGTTATAAGGGCGTTAAAATGGTAGATGCAAGGTTGTACGTAAGAATCGTCATTTTTAAAGGTAGAAACTTGAAACTTATATTTTAGGTTAGTGATTAATTATGAATAAATATGACATTCAAAGTTTGTAATAATTTTACCCTTAAGGGAGTAAAATGTAATAGGGGATCAAAGTTTTTATGTAAATTCATAACTTTTTAAGCTAGAATGATGAAACTTTTTCATTAGCGTTTTTGGGTTTATCGCTTACATGCCAAAACTACTGAACCGATTTTAATGAAATTTGGTAACATAATCTTGGTAACATGGATATAGGGTACTTTTTAATGTGGAAAAGGGTTGTAAAGGGACAGGGAAAGGGGTAGGTGCAAGATTGGGTATATCGCCATTTTCAAAGCGTGAAACAGATTTTGAGGCTGTTGATTAAATATAAAAAAAGAAAAATTGGTTGTAAGGAATTAAAGGAGAGCTAAATGTTTATATGGAAATATTGTCATTTTAAAAGCAAGAAGCATGAAGTTTAATTTTTAGCCTATCTTTAAATATATATTAAGAAATAGATTTTTAAGGGATTGAAAGAGTTATGAAAGGTTGTATAGAAGTGTCGTCATTTTTGAAGATAAAACGATATTTTTTTTTCATTTGGCTTTTATTGGGTTAGGTCATTAAATATTTTGGTCAAGGTTTCTATTTTACGCTGACGAAGTCGCGGGTACAGCTAGTGGTGTATAAAGTGCGTGTGATGGTCAGATGCGGCGGCGCGTGGCTGGTGACGCGCGTGTGTCGGCGGCGGTCTGCGGGCGGCGTGGGAGCCCCGGGAGCCCCGGGGGGGGCGGGCGGCGGCCCCGCGCACCTCGCGGGGGTGTCCGCGAGGCTCCGCTGGCAGCCCTGGCCGCACTCACAGCCTGCACAGGTACTAACACCTACATTTAAATCTTATATATAAAATTCTCGTGTCACAGTTTTCGTTCCCATACTCCTCCGAAACGGCTTGACCGATTCTCATGAAATTTTGTGAGCGTATTGAGTAGATCTGAGAATCGACCAAGATCTATTTTTCATCCCCCTAAATGTTAGGGGTAGTCCACATCAAATTTTTTTTTTTATTTTAAGGCAAAACTACGTTTGCCGGGACAGCTAGTTCGATTATAGAAAGGCCAATGAGTCTTATGGGAATGGATATAAAAATTTACAATACCAAAGGTTATACTGGAATTTTTTTTAAATAAAATTATGCAATCTCTTCAATCATATTACACATTTATATGGACATAGACAAGTATATAAGTAAACGATCAAAGATACTTTATATAAGTTTCTTGCCAGTTCATCTCAATTGAATCTGTACACTGAACTGGACGGTAGGGAATAAATATTAATACAAAAAACTTCACGACAAGCGGCTAAAATGTCCTACATGAATTAATGATTTGATTTGATTTACAGCGTGAAGGTACTGAGCCGGCGTCCCCCTCGGAGCTGTCCCCCACAGTGGAGCAGCAGATCAAAGACACGCTGCAGCGGGGACTCACCACCATGAGCAACGACCGCACGGGACCTGAAGGTACTGTCTCCTCCGGGGGGCCAGAGGGGGGGTGCCTCTGTCCCCTGCTTCAGTGTTAGTATCCAGTAGCGGACGAACGCTGAAGCAGAGCCTGTTATATTTATTTTTGTCAAATTAAAGTAAAAATTTATTATGTAAATAAAAAATTAGTCCCCAAATACGGGCCCTAGTAGGCTAGTCTTAGTCCGCCCCTGGGGTGTGGGGGCAATTTATTTTATTGAGGACTAAATAATAAGTAAAACAGAGTTTCACTAAAGAAATTCCAATTTGTACTAAAACAGGGGACAGAAACTATTTTTTTTTTATAACACAGGGGACAAACGAGCATGCGGCTCACCTGATGGTAAGTGATTACCGCCGCCCATGAGCACCCGCAACACCAGGGGAATTGCAAGTACGTTGTCGGCCTTTTAAAAAGGAATAAGCTCTTTTCTTGAAGGTTTCAATATCGTATCGGTTCGGAAATACCATTGCTGGAAGGTGATTCCACAATGTGGTTGTGCGGGGCAAAAAGTTTCTAGAAAACCGTAAGTGTGGAAGACCGCCATTCATCCAGATGATCAGGATGGTATTTCAGTTTCTGGCGGGTGTATTCATGAGTATTATTGTTTGTATCGGTCTGTATGTTTTCTATGTATAATATGTATTTGTATCAGTTGTGTAGTACCCATAACACAAGCTTTAGTTACCTTAACTTGCGACTAGATGGCGCTGTGTGAATTGTCCTGAGATTATTTTAAGAGCTCGAAGTGTAATATATAAACATTCACGTATATATGTATGTGAGTATGTATTTAATTATAGGAGCCAACAGAGTATCAGCGCTGCAGACTTATCTGTAGCTTCATGCTGAGTTGGTTGCCTTTTCATCATTGCGACACATAAAGCCACCTCCATTTTTATTTTATTTTGTAACATTATATTTCTGTATTATTTAACTTGTAAACTTTATTTCTATTTATAAAATGTATCTCATGTATGCTATGTGTTTGTAATTGTTGAATAAAGAACTTATCTATCTATCTATCTATCTATCTATCTATCTATTATTACAACAATCATTCCAGGTCACATGTCAACGGACAGTTTTGAGTTATCAAGCATTGAACGAGCTCTGCCCCACGTACCAGAATTAATGCAGGTAAAACGTTGTTTTGCCATATAAATTAAATTAATGATGATAATGGAATGGTGCACCCGCCTGCGCCGACGGTTTGCGCTGGCGGGGCACCAGTGGAGATGCTTTATAAATAACAATCAAAAGTTAACACTTGTAGACATTTTTTAGGAATGTAAATACTAACAGTATTGAAACAGTTGCTGTTAAAAGTATATAAATATAGTACATATAAAAATAACAATAAAAATAATACATATAAAACATAGGAGTTGGTGATAGAAGGGTGAAAATTTAGGGTTGTATGTGTTTTTTATAAAATATAAAAAAATATAGGGATGGGCAACCCTTATCATTTGGGGGGAGGGGGGGGGACGAAAAATTTATAATTTTTTAATAGTAGGAGATTCTCAGACCTACTGAACATGCAATATAAAATTTCATAAAAACCGGTCAATCCGCTTCGGTGGAGTGTGGTAACTAATATTGTGACACGAGAATTTTATATATCTCTGTATTCTAAATTTATTTATTAAAGCTAGCTGTATTCTAAATTTATTTATTAAAGTTAGCTGTATTCTAGATTTATGTATTAAAGTTAGCTGTATTCTACATTTATGTATTAAAGTTAGCTGTATTCTAAATTTATTTATTAAAGCTAGCTGTATTCTAGATTTATGTATTAAAGTTAGCTGTATTCTACATTTATGTATTAAAGTTAGCTGTATTCTACATTTATGTATTAAAGTTAGCTGTATTCTAAATTTATTTATTATGTTAGCTATATTGTACATTTGTGTATTGAAGCTAACATTGTTTTTATTATTGCAGGGTTCTTGGAGAAGTGAAGAGAGCACTGTAGACTATTTGGACGGTGTTCATCTGATCTTGAATCCAGAGGGAGCCAGCTTGCTGCCTCTTGCTATAGAGTGAGTTTGTGTCAGATTTTTATATATTAAACTGTAGAGGATATTTTTATATAAGTACTAGCTGTACCCGGGAATACGTCCGCGTGGAATTAAACTTTATTTTTATAAATTAAAAGTAGCATAAGTTACTCCTTATTTCATTAGTTATCTGCCAATAGAAGTCCTGCAAAATCGGCTCAGCAATTTCAGAGATTAGCCGGAACTAACAGAAATTAAAGAAACAAAAATTGTAAAAAATGTTATTGTGGTGTATTTATATTCATATGCATGTAGTAAAAAACGTTTATTTCAATATTACAAACAGACACTCCAATTTTATTTGTATGTATAGATAAGGTGTTTTTTTAAAGCCAGTTATTTACATTGTACTTATATAGGTGTCTATGTCTAACATTAATATAACATTAAATGAAAATCCAGTGCATGAACAACTATTTCCATACACGCTCGTCATCTGTTTGTCGATGTAGCGGGCGGGTACTCCACGGGCGGCACTTCACGTGGCGGTCAGGCGCGACGGCGGCCACGCTGCTGTCACCAGCCGTCAGCGGAGCCCTAACCACCTGCGAGCGGCCGTACGCCCTCAGCGGCGCCTGGCTACAGGTATCAACGCTTTTACGATTCTTTGAAATTTTATATGCATATTCAGTTGGTCTGAGAATCGGCTACTATCGATTATTAACCTGTGTGCTTTTTTTTCCCTATAACAACACACCAAATCAGCGTTTGGGCATTACAGGTAACTCGAGTCAACTCGAGTCATGTTTGTTACGACTTAGCACATCCCTACTCAAAAACTTTTTTCCCGTTTGTCCTCATAAAGATTTATTTAAAAAAAATGACATTGACATCTAAAGATTAGAATGACATTGACGTCTAGAGACGTATGTCAAATTGACGTACATTACGGCTGTATGGGCTTAGACTCTTTGCCTTTCCATTACGGATAAATAAAACAAAAAAAAAAATTGACGTACATTTTTAGAACGTAACATTTGACATTACCGATTATATTAATTGAATAAATGTCGATTTTAAATATCGTCAATTAAATAGAAAATTGTCATTTTTCAAAATTATAATCTAGTTTTGCCTCCTTTTATATAAGTCAATTAAATTAACCACGCCGTCTCAATCATTATCTAAATACTTTTAAATTGATATATAATACTTGTGTGTAAATTTAAAACTTTAAATGAAAAATAATTTGATTAAATTTAAAAATCTTTAAATGCGTTTCTTGTAAAATAGTGCCATTTTGCTATTTAACCGACGATGTATGTATGTTTTATACAAAATAAATTATAATTAATAAATAATTTTACACTACTTTTAACATTCCAGATGTTGATACCAAAAGATCTCGCAGAGGACATGTCGAAACAGGTCTCCAACCTGTCGGCGCTGGCCGAGACTGACTCCGAGTCAGACAGCGAGGGGGAGAGCGAGAGGGACAGCGCGCCATCGCTCCCTCTCACTCTAACGTGGCACAAACACAAACTGAAGATATCTGTAGTGCACGATCATGAGTTATTGTAAATAAATAAATAAATGTACATATATAATTTGTAGCGTATTATTTTAAAACGTTGAAGACCCTATTGAAAATTCTAATTTCTGTAGAAATTATTAAATGGTTGAAGTGTTTTAAAATAATAATAAATCGATGTTGACGGGACGTGTATTTGAATAAGAATAAAGAATAATATTGACAAATTATAAATTACGAAGCGCCTAAAATATCTTCTTAGCAATATTTATAAGTATTGCATATTGTTGCTAATAGAGCATTTCTGGCGTTAACAATTTCTCACATAAGGACCGGATTTTTTTATTGTTTATTACGTATATAATTTTTTAAATATGTTTTTAATGTACTATAATTTGAGGTGGACATTATTTAACCCCAAGATTTATTTCAATTAAAGTGCCCACGGGTTATAACCCGGTCCAAAGCACTCAAAACTGACTATAGATTTGACATATCATAAGAATCTGTAATAGAGCTACATGAATAAAGATATTTTGATTTGATTGATATGAATAAACTCAATAAAGTCCTCGAGTGGCGACCACGGACCTGAAGACGCAGCGTGAGAAGGCCTCCAGCAAGGTGGACCGACGATCTGGTCAAGATCGCTGGAAGGCGATGGATGCGAGAAGCACAGCATCGATCGTCGTGGAGATCTTAGGGGGAGGCGTTTGTCCAGCAGTGGACGTCTTTCAGGCTGAGATAATGATCATGAATAAATTTATTTTGTACATTTGTACGTTGTAAGACTGAGGTACCCTAATCTCTCCTATTTTAGTGGTCAAGCAGTTTGCTTTTTAAACTGTTTCGACTGAAGTTGGTGGAATTACAGGATAGTCATGATATATTAGTCCTCCAGAATAGCAACGCATTACTGGTGTGACATAGTAGCGTGTTATCTGTATTTCTGTTCATGTATATATGCGATCAATCAGATTCGCCGTCAGCTTCTTCATCATTTCATTCACACATAAAACTGGTATAAATATATGTTCATGGTCATTGAAATTAATTTATAAATTCGTAATTCAAACTTAAAAACCCCGAAATTGTCCTTACCTCAGCAACAACGAACAAAAGTTTAAACTCAAAACATTTTTCAAAAAGTCAATATAGCGCCATCCAGCGGGTAATAGGTATAATTTTAAAGTTGTTAGAAAATTCTTATTTAATATCAACAGAAAATCACAGGTGGCGCTAGTATACTCACAAATGGCGTAAACAAAATTTTAAAATCTAGAAAAAGTTTTTATTTTAAAAGTACACCTTTATTGTAATCTAAAGAATGCTAAAAACATCGACACCTAGTTAGAATAAAACTTTGAAGCAATTAACAAAGGTTGGAGACCATAAAAATACTTTTTAAGAAAACAATTACTATCTACTATAAATTAGAGATGGCGCTAGTATACTTTCAATTGACATAGATGTAAACAAATCTCCAACGAGTTGTTATTACTAGGTTACTTTAATTTCTTCATTTTACTCTAAGAATAACTGCTGTGGACTACAGTTTGTTTTGTTTTGTTTGTGTGGACTACTGAGTATTGTTTTAACTGTATATTTTGAATTCTCTTTCAATCTTTACCAAAATTACTAACCAGTTGACATAAAATTTGTGTGACCACAGATCTCAACACAATAACTAGTTTTTTTAACCTGTGACAAACTAGTTATTATTGAGAACTAGATAAACTTAGTTATTTTCTCTGTGAGCTCGGTCTAAATTAATATCGTGATATTGAACGGCGAATGTTTAATTTCTAACGTTGGATGTGATCTCGAATTTATACCCTTCTCTTTTCCTCCACTGGAAATAAGCACATAAAAAATATTCCGTTGCATTCTTTCATTATCGATTTTTAAATGAATATATAATACACTTATAAAAAGCCTCGTTGTCTCGTTAAAAAAACCGTGTTAATTTATTTAATTATGGTTTCGATATTATTTGATATGGAATCGAGGATTTGGGACTATTTCGAAAAAACACAAATTCTAGTCAAAAAATAGCTATTTATTGAATTTGTAACAAGAGAATATAGTATTTGTCGACATCCGGTAAATTAGAGTGCATTTGAGAAAATAAACACAGCGGTGAAACTGATATGTCACTGAAAAATGACCAGACGCAGGCTAATAGACAAGGAAAATTTATAATTTGGGGTTATTTTCCACAAGTGGAAGTTAGTGATAGAGAAGCAGTCTGCAATCTACGCGATAAAGTATTGTCTTTTAGTACAACTAGGACGAATTTTAAAGCACATTTGCAACGTCGACATCCTGAAGTGTACACCCTTTTTGAGAATTGCCTACCTCCACATTTAGAATCTGTGGGCACGGTGGTTTCACTGGATGACACAGATGAAGGTATGATTTTTATTTTTAAATTAACTTAATTTATTGTCTATGACAGATTAGCCAGTTATATATCGTTATAACGTACAATAAAAAACGGTACTTATGTAACTGTTATTTTATTATACGTTATACGTCGTAATTTTGTATGTTTAAATAACTATCTTTAAGTATATTACAGTTATTTTAAACAATAAAGTCAAATATACAATAACATACAAATATAGTGTGCACCATTTTGTACGAAAAAATTAATCGTGGTAAAACGGCGGGTAGGTACTGTTTGCTAGTTACATACCGATTTCTTGATATATCAATTAAATTATTTGTAGAAATAACTTCCATTTTATTAATTAATGCAATAATTATGACACAATTTTGAAGTTATAATGCCGCTACAGTAGGAAATCGACTGTTAACTTTTGTTAGGGTTCACAGTTCACATCAATATTGTCGAAATATCTGATATTTTTAAAATATTAAAAGAAGGTAGTTTCGTTATTACTCGGTATCGTTAAACTAGTTGCGTGGGTTATACGCAACTAGTTTAACCACTCATATCTTCTCTGTATAAAAGGTGGGTTTTTGTAAGCCACGGTATTCGGTCTTTGAGCATAGAAAGTGCTGGTTCATAAATATTGCTGGTTTATAGGTATTTTAAATACAAATGCTAAAGTGAATTGTGTTAGAGACATAGTTAAATTAATGCTATATAGTTGTTATTTTATTACTAGTACATAGAGTTGATATTTCTTACACTTTGTAGTTCGCTATTTGACGTTTTGACTTTATCGGACCGTTATAGAGCGATTATGAATAACATTTTTCACTATCAGAGGTTTATCATAGGTTTATAGAACATATTGCTATTGAACAGTTATAAGAGCTTTATAGATTGTTGATGAATAGACATTTTTATAAAGCCTTTGTGGAGAATCTACAGATAGTGCGCAGTAACACCGGTGCCTAGCGACATATAGGGAGTAGGACAACAGACCTGTCAGAGCGGACCGAATCCCTTCTTTTTTGATTGTTAGGGAAATTACTATATGTGGAAGCGTCTGTCTCTTACCTGAATCTGCGTAATTCTTTGGCTTTTAACACAAGTCAGGGTCTCGAAGATTTTTTCTCTAGTTTTCCAGTTTCCCAGTAGGTTTCACTCAGTTTAAATTTGTTTTATTTTTGAAATAATGCGCGCACATCATATCATCTAATATAATAATCTGTGCTTACGATGGTACAGGGTAGATTTTGAACACGTATATAACTTATTTTCTGTATATATTATTGATATTATTCAACCTCTGTAAATAATTCAAGAATACAAATTTATACAAAACTACGACTGGACTTATTCTTTCACCGCCCTTTTCCTGCCGCTGCTTGTACGAGACGAACACTCAATGTACAAATCTTGCGGCCCTATCATAGCCGCTAAACCTTTATAGCACTGCTATAGTGGACTTATAAAGGCTTCGTAAGTTTTATGAATAAGATCAATAATATTTTAGACTGCTGCTCCATCCTAAAATCATGGCTGACATGTAGAGGAATATTATGGAGTTTTATTCATATTTATTTTTAATTATTATAATATATATAAATAACTCAAAGGTGACTGACATAGTGATCTATCAACGCACAGCCCAAACCACTGGATGAATCGGGCTGAAATTTGACATGCAGGTAGATATTATAACGTAGGCATCCGCTAAGAAAGGATTTTGATTAATTCTACCCCCAAGGGGATAAAATAGAGAATGAAAGTTTGTATGAAACTTTGTCAATTTTAAACCGATCGAGCTGAGACTTTGCATGCATAAATCTACTATGACGTAGACATCCCCTAAGAAAGGATTTTGATAAATTCCACCCCTAAAGAGATAAATTAATGCAAGCGAAGCCGCGGGCAAAAGCTAGTTTATAAAATCATTTTTATTAAAAACTGCTGGGGTTACGCTTCTAGACAAGGTGTCAAACCATTACTTGCGAGGTACATTCAAAGTAAGACCTGTCCTGGATAAATTGACTGAGTCCAGATTGCATTGGTACGGTCACATCAAGAGAAGACGAAGACCATATGACACAAAAGATACTAAAAGTCAATCCGAAACAAAAGAAGCGTGGAAGACATCGACTTACATGGATAGCCGCCATCAAAAAAGACCGAAGGCGTGAAAATTTAGACCCAATGACGATCCAGACGTGCTCTGGAGACGGATGATTAGGAGAGCCGACCCCAATTAAAATGGGTTAAGGCCGGGATAGAGAGAGATTTTTATTAAAAACATATTTCATTATTAATAAAAACATTTAATTATATCTAATTTAAAATCTAATTAAATTAAATCGCACCAATCCCGTTTAACTTCCCCCGTAATTCTCTAATAACATTCACCAATTTTGCATTCTTCCTCGCCAGCCGTCGTATCCTTTGGTTCAGCACTTTCATCTTCTTCCTGTTGACTTTTGACTTTTGTATCTGTTTCTTCAGTTTCATTCTCAATTCGTTGGTTTCTGAGCTATCAAATACGCATTCTACTTCTTTGTCTCTGTTGTCGCGGGTTACACTGTACGATGCCTCGTCTGGTGACAAGGTGACAATTATAGACTCTATGTGCTTGTTATAATCTATATTAATATTAGATTTTATGTCTTCAAGTTCATCTTCCTGTAAACAATATGTTTGGTCAAATCTTATCCTCAATCCTTAATTATCATCATCTTCATCATCTTTATCATCATCATTACATAGTATAAAACAAAGTCGCTGTCGCTATCTGTCCGTCTCTATGTATGCTTAAATCTTTAAAACTACACAACGGTTTTTGACGCGGTTTTATTAATAGATAGAGTGATTCAAGAGGAAAGTTTATATATATGCGAAGCCGGGGTGGGTAGTTAGTGATATTATAAATGTGTAAGTAGGGATGTTTGTTACTCTTTCACGCAAAAACTACTGAACCGATCATCATGAAATTTTGTACACGTGTTCTTGGTAGTATTAGAGTGAACATAGGATATATTTTATTTAAAAAAAACAAATATTTTTTATAAAAAAAAAACAAATAAATAAAATATCAACGTTTTGCTAATCTAGCAGCTAGTAAAGAAGTTATGTGAGCGAAACCGCGGGTAGCACCTAGTTAATTAATATAATAAATGCGAAAGATGGATAGATGTTTAGCCGCTTGTGAACGTCAAGTTTTTTGTATTAAAATTTGTCCCCTACCGTCCAGTTCAGTGTACAGATTCAATTGAGAAGAACTGGTAAGAGAACCAACTGAATTTCTATTTTTTCAAACGCCAGTTCATTTACATTGCGTACTTATAAAGGTGTTATTCATAACGAAACGTTACAAATAAAACGGTTATCGAATAGGTTACTGACGTTGCTACACATTTGCTAACGAAACGTTGTAACGTTTATCGAATAAAACGGTTATTGAATACGTTATTGACGTACACATTTATTTATTAACTTTTATTTTTAAAATATTCGCGCCATATTTTCAGTGTTGTCAGTATTTCGGTTCAAAGTTCCCACATTTGGTGTTTTTTTTGTTTTTTGACAAAAAAAATATATTTTTTATTGAATAGCTTACGGTTTCTGATGCTGTAAGCGCAGTCTCGTTTTCATGAGATATCACCAATTCTTTAGTATCCTCGTCGCTGTCGTGGTCGTCAGAGACCTAAAAGAAATTTACCATTTTTGTTACTAACCACATAGAGTATATTGTTATAGCAGGCGGGTGCACCATATAAAAAACAACATTCATTTAAAAGAGCAACTCACAAGTTTATTGCTCATTCTGCTTGTGATGAGTCTGCGTTTCGAATGAGTGGTAGAATAAAAAAATGTGACTATTCAAAAGTGCTTGTGCCGTCATACTCTTGAACGGGTGCTGCTTGTAAGGACTGGTCTGTTCAGGTTACGAACACTGAATAGATTATTGTTTTTGCAATAGCATATGCGGTCACTCTATTCTCTCAAATTTGAATTTTAATGACTGTGTATTATTGTAAACATGTACAACATTTATTTGAAAAGAAATGAGTGGTAGAATAAAAAATGTGACAATTCAAAAGTGCTTGTGCCGTCATACTCTTGAACGGGTGCTGCTTGTGGGGACTGGTCTGTTCAGGTTACGAACACTGATTAGATTTTTTGTTTTTGCAATAGCATATGCTGGTGGTCACTCTATTCTCTCAAATTTGAATTTTAATGACTGTGTATTATTGTAAACATGTACAACATTTATTTGAAAAGAATACGAGCTGAGTTTCTTGTCATTTCTTCTCATCTCGAAATCATTCCGAACTGACAGTAGATTTAACATATCATAGAGTCTGTAACAGACCTACATGAATAAAGATATTTTGAATTTTAATCTTATATTAAGTTTATTTGAATAAAGATTATTTCTTTTTCTAAATAAATATAGTATTAGATATCCTTACGTTATTTGAGTTAGGGACTAAGCGCACTGTGGACAGTTGGCACACTTTTGCGTCTTCCTTCCATATATCACTGTTGCGGTCGATTAAAATCTTAAAATATTATTAATAATATTAATACTAGATTTAAAGACAAACTTGCTGTCCCCAAGTATCGTTTAGAAAAAGTCAATAGGTCTTTTATGGGAATAGGTATAAAAATTTACAATAAGAATCCAAAGGATATATTGGAATTACCCTTAAATTAATTCAAAACATCTGTTAAATCATATTTACTGAGTAAAGCCTATTACTCACTAAACGATTACTTGAATGACGAGCGTGCATGGCAATAGTTGTTCATGCATGGGATTTTCATTTAATGTTAGACATAGACACCTATATAAATATACATTGTAAATAAAGTATAAGTCCTTTAATTGAGTTTCTTGCCAGTTCTTCTCAATTGGATATACAGAACTGGACGGGAGGGAAGAAATTATAGTATAAAAAATATGACGTTAATATGCAACTAAAATGTCCTACATGAATAAATTATTTTTTAATTTGAAAACAAAAAAATTAAGTGCTCATTCACGAGGTAAATTTCTATCTAAAAATGCAGATGAAATCCCGGATAACAACTAGTTAAATACGCCTCGGTCTAAAGATTCAGCACATGAAGGTCGCCGGTACGGTTTCTCGCACGGCACAAACATTTGTATTCATGAGTATGATTGTTTGTATCAGTCCGGCTGTTTTCTATGTATACTGTGTGTTTACAAAAATATGTATTTAAGTATTTGTATCAGTTGTCTAGTTAGTTAGTTATCCATAGCACAAGCTCTGCTTAGTTCATGAGTGTGATTGTTTGTATCTGTTTAGGTATTAGTTACTTTTAAACTTTCGTTTTTAATATACATTATACATTCTCTAGAGAGAGAGGTAAATACCTTTATTTGCCATAAAATTATTCGTATTAAGACCCGGTTAATAATTTAAATAATGTTTAGGTATTTTCTATATAGGTATTTACAAAAAAATCTATCACTTGTCTATGTTATCACTCATAAAACAAATTCTGTTATGTTGGTGTTGTAACTGGCTGACCATATTTGTATTTTATATTCTAAATTTGTATGTACTTTTATAGTTCCCTTTATTGTACACTTATTGTTTGATACATCACTTCTTTCACTCTGTTGTCAATAGTCTTTCTAAATATATTTTACCAAATCTTATTCCTACCTATACAAAAATAAAATAAAACTACAACATTATGAACTAGATGGCGCTGTGTGAATTGTTCACTGCTATTATTATTATAAACTACACACCTTTTTCGGTATTCCATACTTGACTATGCGACGCAATCCGGCTTTTGTTATATACAAATCTTTATCTGCGAAATGCAAAGAGCAGACTACGCTGCCTCTCGCTGGTAGCCATGCTGTATCTTTTCTGCTTATTCTAATTATTTGTATCCACTTGTATTTAATAAAGTTATCGTTTGGGAATCTAGAACAATGAAAATCATTATTGTCAACAGCTTGTACCTTCATCAGCGTAAACTTTCTTTCCTTATGTCACCTTTTTTCATAGCACATGTGACAAACGAGCTTGTTTCACTAGGTGGTAATTGATTACCGCCACCCATAAGCACCCGCAACTCAAAGGTAGGTAACAAACAAGCTTGTATCATCTGATGGTAAGTGATTACCGCCACCCATAAGCACCCGCAACTCAAAGGTAGGTAACAAACAAGCTTGTATCATCTGATGGTAAGTGATTACCGCCACCCATAAGCACCCGCAACTCAAAGGTAGGTAACAAACAAGCTTGTATCATCTGATGGTAAGTGATTACCGCCACCCATAAGCACCCGCAACTCAAAGGTAGGTAACAAACAAGCTTGTTTCATCTTATGGTAAGTGATTACCGCCACCCATAAGCACCCGCAACTCAAGGGTAGGTAACAAATAAGCTTGTTTCATCTGGTGGTAAGTGATTACCGCCGCCCATGAGCACCCGCAACACCAGGGGAATTACAAGTGCGTTGCCGGCATTTAAGAAGGAATAAGCTCTTTTCTTCGTATTTATATTGATTGGGAATGAATTAGGGTCTCCCACGTTCTAGTAGTATTATTTTTAAAGGATGATAATAGGATGGTGCATCTGGCTGGACTAATGATATACGCTGGCGGAAGACCAGTGGAGGATGATAGGATGAGCGTGCGATCAGGTCAATTAGAATATCGCTTGGTCAACCTAGCATGGTACATTGTTACCAATGGGGTTATTAGCCCACATAACTAATAATCCCCTTCCACATGACGACCTCGGTGGTCTAGCACACCACTTTACGACCGATGGTCGCGGGTTCGATTCCTCGCACGGCACAAACATTTGTATTCATGAGTATGATTGTTTGTATCGGTCAGGGTATTTTCTATGTATAATATGTATTTATTTACAAAAAAAATATCTATGTATATGTATCGGTTATCTAGTACCCATAACACAAGCTTTAGCTGGCTTAACTTGGATCTAGATTGCGTTGTGTAAATTGTCCTGAGATTATTATTACTATAGGCGGATGCAGGTTGGCGACTCTGATCAATTCCAGGGTTTCAGGATTCATCAACCCTGTCACGGCAGATTATCTTCTTTTTTGCGTGGTAATTAATTACAGTAGTTTAATTAGGAAGAAAACTTGCCTAGTTTAAATAGTAGTGCTTTAGTTTACACCTTGAACTTAATCCAAGAGATGGCGGTAGGCTCGCTGTCCTGTCACAATGTCCTGAGCAGTCGACAATTAACAATACCTCTGACTACCCCATCTTGTATAAAAGTCGTGAATATAGGTTTATTTGATTCTACTAAAATTATAGTTTGAAATCCTATTTTGTTTCCCCGAAATTTTATCGAAATAATAAATTTAATCTGGCAACCCTATTGTTAGCATATTGTCAATGGTAAATGTTAAACTCCCACTCTATGAAATACCTACCATAAGTCCGCATTTCGCCGACGAAACTCGGCATAGCTGTACCTGACAATGTGTTTACTTGCTTTTACATTGTTATCATGAAAAAAAAATACTCACTTGTGGTACGTTATACCGCCCGCTTTCTGTTGTTTCATTGAATTATTTCTACAGGTGCTTACAACACAAGATGGCATTAAAAAAATTGTTGGTATTTAGTCTAGAAATTCTAGAACACAGCCAGCACTCTCGGGTAGGCACCCCGCACTGACGCACAACTGGCATCCTATTTCAATACCAGCGTCGTTGGGCGGCTTCTCACTCTCTATTCCATAAAAACCTTTATTTTTTTATTGATTTCATTTCACGCTTATACTTTTAAAATATTAAAAAAAAGTTGCCTATTTCATTTTATTAATTAAAAAAAAACTTATCTATTACATTTTATTATCTGTTGAGTAATCTGTTTGCTAAATCTTAAAAGGAAATTTATCACTCTTACTGCAATCTACATATACAGCTTTATCTTGTGATTGAAATGGAGTTTATTACGTTTGTAAACGTTTCGTCATTTTAATAAGAAGCATGCGTTGATTTCCAATAACGCACACGTAATGAAAATCTGTATTGACTTTTAAACTACAAATTTGTAAAATCAACTCTAAGATTAATAAGTTTAAGGAATATTTTCCAAAATTGGTACTTTTTGACAAAGACAATTTATTATTAAAAGTTTAATGTATTGATTCACGTTTTTTTTTATTATGGTGCCATGAAACTCGTACACAGGTTTATTCCAAAATTCGTGTACTAAATTCAATGTAACTGTGTAAGTATGCGCTAAGACAGTAAAAAGAAAAAAAAAATACTATTTTGGTGGTAAAAATATTGGTATTGCAGGTTTGTCAATTTTCGTTTTGAAATCATGCATTGCACTTATCTATAGCGCATTTTTCGGCTGTATTTAAATTATCCTAATCTACTACTACAAAAATATTAATGTTTACTTATAAACGGATTTCTTCAAGTATAACTGTAACTGAAAACTAGATTTATTCCTATATTTGTACATATTTACTTACCTACTTGTGTACCTACTTCAATCATGGCACGATTGCGAGAGCCTCGCAAAACCTCATTTCAATATAAACTTTAACTCCCTCCATTAAGAATCAATATTTTCTGCCCATTAAACTTGTTTACTATCTCCTCTCGTTCTATACTGGTTCAAATTGTAAAAATTATTGTTTAAATTTGAACCTTATGGACAATGCTATAAAGCTGTTTTATATTTGGTGCTATGTATGTAGTTGTTAGAGCAGTACCGAGAATGGCGTTAAAGTAGAGAGCATGTTGTTGTCAACGGAACGGCAACGTCGCGCGCCCCACTGTTTATATTGATCAAGCTATATTTGGAATGGTCGTTACCTGGATGGCTGGATGGCGCTGGATTTTGTTTACATGTTGTCTATACCTATTTTATACGTTTATGTAATTTGAAAACATAAAATTGATAGTGTAATAACTAATAACACTATTTCTACGTGCGTACTGAGTAATCGAAGCAAGAAAAAAACGTAGATAGTTATTTTAGTTTTTCGAAAACAGTATTTCTCTCTCTGTCTAGCATTTTCACATTTTATTTGAATATTGGATACAATTTATTTTTTTATTAATAATTTTACGGCTTTGGATAGTCTCAAGCCCTTTTTAGCCCAACAGAGAAACAACATTTGACATTTATAATTATCTGACATTGGACATTGACTTTAATTTTTGTATTTATATTGCAAAGATAAAATAAGGAATAAAGAAGTGCCTGAAGGGTTAAAGAAAAGAGACAGATTATAGATATTATTGAGAATAGGCGGGGAAAATGTTGGGGCACTTGATACGACACTACGAACTAATTAATAACATTATAGAAGGAAAAATAGATGGAAAGAGAGGAAGGGGAAGACCAAGACACAGCTATATCAAGCAAGTTAAAGAAAAAGTTGGAGTCGTGTCGTATCAACAGCTAAAAGGACTGATAGAAGATCGAGAAAGATGGCGGGAGCTCCACCGACAAGAGAACAGCTCTTAAATTATGAGTGAATGTATTGTAAATTTTAATTTGAATACAAGGTATGGCACTAAATATTGCTAGCAATAAGATCTCAAGTCCCTATCTATACATATATGTAAATAAAATTGGAGTGTCTGTTTGAAATATTGAAATAACCGCTTTTTACTACATGCATATGAATAAATACACCAGAATAACATTTTTTGCAATTTTTGTCTGTCCGTCTGTCTATCTGTTTGTTCCGGCTAATCTCTGAAATGGCTGGACCTATTTTTACGGGACTTTTATTGGTCGGTAGGTATTGATGTAATAAGGAGTGACTTAGGCTACGTTTATTTTAGAAAAAATTCTCTAATTACGTTTTTTGTAGTTATAGAATAGAAAAGAATGGAAAATCATTTATTCAAATAAACTGACATTGAAGCACTTTTGTATTGTCATCACATTTTTTTTAATCTACCGCTCATTCGGAAAGCTGTCTCATCACAAGAAGAACGAGCAAGAAACTTGCGTGTTCCTCTTTTAAATAATTTTATTGTTACTTTACAATTTAAGTTTAAGTGTGTGAATACAAACTACCGATTAGCACTAATTCAATTAAATACTCAAATAGACAAAATATTGAATATATAACCAACTGGTTAAACAATTAATAAGAGGAAATCAGTCATAGTGATTAGAGCAGACCAGTCCCTACAAGCAGCATCCGTTCACGTGTATGACGGGTATATGTTATTAATATATCCTTTCATAAAATGTATAAAAGAACACGATTATGAATTACGAGCGTTGATTCTCAAGGTTAATCAAGGACCACTACTCACGCATTTATTTTAGGTGATTCCAGTTGGAAACAGCCTAAATACAGTACTTGGACGTATGTAAAAACTTGTTTTTCACGCCGTAATGTGTTTCTCGATGCGTCATTGTTTACATTATGGATTGATAAAATTCCCCGACGGTTTTTCGTGTCGTTTGTTTCATTAATGGAATGAAAATTGTTTCGGCTAGCCTCTATTTTGCAGTTATTAATCATTTTTATATATATAATAAGATCATCAGTCCACATTCAAATTAAAAAATCATTCATTCATGTAGGACATTTAATGAACGTCAAATTATTACATTACTAGATGAAAAACCGGCTTCGCTCGGGTGAAATGTGGGTAGATATTTGTGTAGTCATCGGTTCACATGGAATATTAAAAGTAAGCAAGACATAGATTTGTAAAGCTTCGTTCAATGTGTTTAATAAATATAGTAAATAAGAAGTGCAAAAGTTTTTATATAAATAATTTTTATTTTTTTGTTAAACTTTAAGTTGGGCTAAAAAGAACTTGTATCCAGAGCCGTAAAACAAATTAATAAAAAAAATTGTCAAATTTGTCTCGTAATCGGCCAATTTCAGGTTTAAAAAAAAAACACATACTCTTTTATCATAAAAAAGTGTCAAAAACAATATTTTCGCGAAACGTCAACGACCGAAGAAAATGCTAGTGAAATGAAAAGATGGCGACTGCGGTTTGTTTGTCAGTGTCATTAGAATTTATCGAAATACTCCATAATCCGAATTTTGCGGATATATGTTGTCGACTCGAAATCAATATTTTTTTATGTTTTGTTATTTATATTATATTATATTATCCAGTTCAGCATATTGATCCAATTGATAAGAACTGACAAGAAACTCAATTAAATTACTAACAATCTCCCTTCTCCTCAATATATTTGTATCATATCAGTCGTCAAGCAGCTTGCTTTGTAAGCTGTTTGGTTGTAGGGTGCAGATTAGGAAGTGAAATTACAGGATAAGAGGCGTGATATCTTAGTGCTCCGTATTTATATTACTATGAATGAAGAGGTCTTAAATTTTAGGAATGGCAACCCTATATAATTGTCATTGTGTGATACTAAATAATATAATCAAAGTACCAGGACAACATGAGCTTGTAGATAGTTTTCTATGGCATTTAAATGTCATTGTGTGAGACTAACTAATAAAGTCAAAGTACCAGGACAACATGAGCTTGTGGTAGTTTTCCATGGCAGTCTCACCTACTTGAGCTGCCAAGCAGCTTGCTATGTAAGCTGTTTCGGTTGTAGAGTGCAGATTAGGCAGTGAAGTTACAGGATAAGAGGCGTGACATCTTAGGCGTTTAGAATAGCAAAGCATTAGTGGTATCACGGGTGTCACATGATAACGTGATGTCCTTAGTACTGTTCATATAAACATAGGTGACTGCTAGCGACAAATATGATTTAAAATAACAATTTCACGTTAAACTTCTCATATAATCTTTAACCTTCGCACGTTGCTAATGGGCAGTGACTGTATTACGCATGGCTGGACTACCGTCATAATGTCACAGTTCACTTCACACATTTAAACATCGCTACTTCCAATGGCTGTTGGTTCGATTCCTCGCACGGTGCAAACATTTGTATTCATGAGTATGATTGTTCGTATCGGTCTGGGTTTTTTCTTGTGTATGTATTTACTAAAAAATATCTGTAATGTAGTGCCTACAACAGTCCATGGTACAATGTTCTCGTGCAGCCAAAAACCGTACCAGGTGGAGGCAAATTGTAAGGAGCTCTTTCGCCAAGGACCACAACGATACCATATCACAAAATATACCATCATGAAATCCACGACCACTCTGCCAAGAGTGAACGACTGAAGAAGAAGTGGCTACAACACTAGCTCTGCTTTCCTTGGAACTAGATGACGCTGTGTATCGTTCAGGGATATTATGATTATTGTCATTTGGTCTTTTTTTTGCAGATTTCATATGTATTTTTTTATTAGATTGTTTGGGCTATTGTCAGATGTGTAGCACCTGTAGCACTGCGACCTACATAGATCTATTGTGCTCGCCCTTTTAAGAATTGAAGGATATTCTTAGGAGCGATCGTTTTTATCTCCTCGGGAAAGAGTGTAAACTTTCCAAAGGAGATATTTCGTTTATGCATGAGTGGGCTACAACCACATGGGATGTGAAGCGGCGTTTCCTCTCCAGTTTGGCAGAATCTGCAGATACTTGTCGTGCATAGGCCTAGTTTAGCCTTTTCATATGTAACTATATTGAATAAAAGGGGAGACAATGGATCACCTTGGGCATTTTATTTTGAGATTACGTTTACTCAAAAACGACCAAATATATTTACAAAACTTAGCTCCAGTTCCCAGATTATCAAGAACAGATACTACCC